CATTCCTCCTCACCTAGCATGCGTCAGAGGTATTGTCCGAGGCGTAGACATCAACATGACTCCAGCTGAGGTCCTAGAGATGTTCTCTGAGGCAGGTGCTATTGCAGTTTATAGATGCTCACGAGTTGTAGAACAGACAAAGATCCCTACTGAGTCTGTAATTGTCACATTTGCCGGGTCGATTCGCCCCACTGAAATCAAGGCGTGGCCTTTAATATTCAGAGTCGAACAACTGTCACCTCGTCCCCTCCAGTGTCAGAAATGTTGGCGCTATGGACACACTTTAAAAGGATGTAGGTCAGCTCCCAGATGCCGAAAATGTGGTGAGGCACATACTGCAAATGAATGCAATTGTACTGAAGAAAAGTGTTGTCTTTGTCATGAGCAGCACTGCGCAGATAACGCTAATTGCTCAGCCAAAGCGCGGGAGACTCAAATTATGGAAATTGTTGATCGCAGACGCTGTTCACGAAAAGACGCCATCGCTGAAATTCAGGCAAGAACCCAGGGATATGCTGGTGTTGCAGCCCGACATAATGCAACTTTAGAAGCTTCTCTTTCAGTGTCCATTGCAGACATGATTGAAAAAGCGATGGAGAAAGCTATAGATCGCCTGGCCACCACCCTTTGTGACTCCTTATCTCATATTGTAGCCACTCAGTTGACGCAAATATATGGGACACCAAGAGATATGAAGGATACTTCCCAAGACAACGTAACTCTCCCACCAAGTGAAGCAGACGCAGAGTCATCTCCTTCAGGGGTACAGGCTGCAGGGCCCTCTTGTACAGACAACCAGAGGATAGGTGAAGACATACTAGAGGATGATCAGGATTATGATGATATGGACATGGACATCAAATCCCTAAAGCGCACTCGATCCCCTGTCTCCAAAAATACTGGCTCTTCAAAACATTCAAAAAACAAAAAATACCAGAAGGAGAACCTATCGAAGAGCGATTTTCTTAAAGACAGCATTTTAGATAAGGTAGTTGCCGAAACAATTCTGTCAAAATGATAGGTTCTATCAAAATTCTTCATTGGAACTGCCGATCTATTCATTCAGCTAGTACAGATTTATTGTATTTATCTTGTAAATTCAATCCAGACATTATTGCACTGCAAGAAACGTGGCTGTCAGCACATAATTCGTTTTACCTACCTAATTTCCGGTCTTTTCGCCTGGATCGCCCATCCAAAGGTGGAGGTTTAGCGTTCTTTGTCAATAATAAAATTAGTTCAAAGATCAAAACTTCGTACAAAAGTATATCCCCCGAATGTGAAATTTTCGCTTTAGACATCACCTTGCCTGGATGCTCTCCCTTCTCTCTGGTAAATCTTTACTTTCCTCTGGGTGTACAAGACACGCGATGTTTAGACATGGCTGTTAGTTCGTGGTGCACAGAAAAAATTATGGTTGGAGATTTTAATTCTCACCACACTAGTTGGGGTTTTAGGACTGATCAATGTGGACAACGCTTGTGGGACTGGTCTATAGACCATAATTTATCATGCCTCAACGCTAGAACTCCCACATTTATCCGAGACCGATCCCGCTCTGCCTTAGATTTGAGTTTTATAAGCTCGGGTATTTCTAGCGTATCTTGGACTACTCTAGACTGCGCCACCAACAGTGACCACTTACCAGTACTGTTTGAAATTTCTTGCCCCATTATTCCATCTTACTCCCAAGCTCGAACCTTTATCAATTATTCCAAATTTAAAAATGACCTAGAAGTTGCTTTGACTACCCCCACTGAAGACAACGATGAAAATAAAGCCATGAAATTAAGTGCGGTAATTAAAAGAACGTTCAAAAAAGCAGAATTTTCTATTGAGTCTGATACGAGAAAGCCTTGTAGCCAGTGGTGGAATTCTGAGTGCTCTCGTGATCATAGACGACGACAAGCGGCTTGGAAGCAGCTAATTCATAATCAGTCCCCCAAAAATTGGGCAGATTACAAGTTTATTGCTGCTACATTTAAGCGCACCGTGGCTAAAGCTAAAGAAGACTATGACAAAAAACATTTCGACTTTCTTTCCAAACCTAGAAATAAGAAAGCGTTATTCCGATATATGAGATCGCGCAAAATTCTGCCGTCTCTAGCTAACTCTGATTATGACAGGTTATCGACGGAAGAAATGACTAATTCGTTAGAGGCAATCGGAAGAGGTTTAGCTAACAGATTTTCGTCGACTTTGACAATCAACTGGCAAAAGTCCTCTATAAAGACTGACTACGAAAAAGTGACATTGTCCGAAATGTCAAGCGTAATTAGAAACTTACCCTCTTCGGCTCCTGGTCCTGACGGTATAACAGTTCCTATGATTAAAATTTTATTCCAGATATCACCCGGCGACGTCCTCAACCTTATAAACTATTCCTTAAGCAATGCCTGGATACCACATGACTGGAAAATAGCTAGAGTGATTCCCATATTAAAAAAACAAGGGTCAGGTTTTAACATTGACAACATCAGACCAATCTCTCTAACATCTCACCTGATCAAAATTATAGAGAGAGTTCTCAATAATAGAATAAAAGTTTGGATGGCTGACAAGCTAATATTGAAACCATTTCAAATAGGTTTTCGTAGCGAATGCTCAATTTGGTGTGCTCATGCCGACTTAGAGAGCCGAATACAGCTTGCCCGAAAAAGACGACAATACGCGGTACTAGTAACACTAGACATAGCTAAAGCTTATGATAGCGTTGAGCACTCAATTTTATTGAATTCTTTACACGAATGTGACTTTCCGCGTTATATTGTTGATTGGGTAGCAGAGTTTCTAAAATCGAGAGAATTTTATTGTGCAAAGGATGGATGTCACTCATCTAAATTCAAACAGCAACGTGGAGTACCTCAAGGGGCGGTCCTATCTCCGCTGTTATTCAATGTGTTGATGAGCTCAATTCCCATTGAACGAGATATCACTGTCTACATTTATGCAGACGACATTGCATTTTTCGTTGCAGATAGTGACATTTATTCTTTGCATCAAAAATTGCAAAAGTACATGTATTCTCTTGAAATTTGGCTGCATTCAATTTCATTGTCTCTAAACATCAGTAAAAGTGCGCTCCTGGTGTTCCCTATAGCAGATTCTATTCAAATTTCAGTACTTTATAATCAGGAACCGATTCCACAAGTAGATTCTATCAAATATTTGGGCATTATTTATAACGAGAAACTTAACTGGAGCCCTCACATAGACTATAACGTGGCAAAGGCACAACGAGCTTCAGGCTTATTGCGAAGGTTGAGCAACAGAAAATATGGGTTACGTAGACACACCTTATTAATGATATATAAAATGTACATGCGCCCAATACTCGAATTTGGGTGTATATTATTTTCGGGTGGCCCTACGTACAAAATTAAACCGTTAGTTCTATTAGAGCGAGAAGCGTTACGGTTGTGTTTGCGACTCCCCAGGTATGTCGCTATTAATGTACTATATCAGGAAGCTCGCATACCAACTATTCTTTGCCGATTCCGTATCTTAACAGTACAAACATACTTGAAATTTTACGGCTTATCAGCGAGACGGTCTGCATATGCCTTTATTAGTGACCCCGACGCCTTCTTCCTCGCTCACTGGCCACGCTTTCGTACTCCCCAGATTATTTTTGTACAAAAGAAACTTGAAAGCATAAAGGTGGATATCAGATCGGTAATTGGAACCAAAGCATTAAATCACAATATTACGATAGAATGTGATGAAATTTTTCCCCCACTATCTAAGTTTCAATCTTCGAGTTACTTAAATGACAGGTTAGAAGACTACATAGCTCATGCGGAAATAAAGAACATAATAGCCACAGACGCTTCTGTGAATAAAGAAAAGGCAGCAGTAGGAATCGTCTCAGATTACCTCGGTTGGTCATTCTCGGTAAGACTACCAGACTTCACTCCGGTTTTCGAAGCTGAGCTCCTGGCTATTATTTTAGCGCTACGAAAACTTCCTTCAAACGAAGAGAGTGCAATGATAATTACTGATTCTCTTTCGCTGTGTACTACTCTCACAGCTTCAGAACAATCAAGAGCTCTAGCGACATTACAAACATTAGTTCCACCTCATGTGAAGTTCCTGAAGTTAGTCTGGGTCCCGGGACACTGTGGCATACGGTTGAATGAAATAGCCGATTCACTATCTCGAGCCACACTTGATGGCCCTGTGATCTCGGTACTACCAGAATCGGAACACATAGTGTCGATCAGATATAGAAAATGGGCTATTTATACGGATATTATGGAAAATATTACTAAATATACGGACTATCAGCACCTAACATACCCCTGGAAACCTCAGTGGAGTCAATCTAAAAAGTTAGAAGTTATTTTAACCAAATTTCGATGTCGTGTCCCTCCATTAAACTTTTACTTGCACAGAGCTGGTCTGGCGATATCCCCCCTGTGTCCATTCTGTGAAGAAACGGAAACAATAGAGCATTACTTTATAACATGTAAAAACTATTCATTAATTAGGAAAAGACTTTTAATTGTTCCGTTTCAAGCAGTAGGTTTAAATTTAACTGCAGATAATGTTCTAAGTTTCGGTGCCTTTAGCTTGGGACATTGCCACAGGAGCGTATTCGATGCTGTATGCAATTTCATTCGAGAATCAAAGCGCATGTCATAATAATGCCTGCTTAAATATATTTCTGAAGACACTTGTCTAATTTTGAATGAAATTTGCATATTCATTTGATTGTGACCGGGTGAGATAAGCTCGATTGTCTGGTCTACTCAAAATTTCTGTCTTCCACTGTAGTATTACCTCACCTTTTCTCTTCTTGATTCAATCTTCAATTATTTGTTTAGTTTAATATTCCTTTTTAGTTAATTATTATTTTCTATTACATCATTAGTTTTTTCATTAAGGATAAACCTTTTAATATATCTCATATAGGATACTTCTAGATTTCATGGCCAATCCCCCATAGTGGGTATGTGCCAGTGCGAAGGGGCAACAACAACAACAACAGAATACGCTCGATGGGCCTGCCGAGTGCCGTGCAGGCGTTCCCCATGGCGGCCGCAAGCAAGCCATCGCTGCCGTCAGTTGGTGCTGCTGTTGCTGCAGCTGGGCTGTTGGGCACCGGGGGCGGTGGCCTTCTACCTCCCGGGACTGGCGCCGGTGAACTACTGCAAGGGTGACGCCACCACCTCCCAGTGCCAGGTACACGCGCGCATGCGAGAATGAGGTATAGTGACGAGGCTAAAGAAAGGCGCGAAGTGAATACGTCTTGATGTATTAATCCACATCGTGGTAGTTACTGAAACACTGGAACTGGCTCATGAGAATGGATGCGATAACTGCGCTCTTAGTCTGCATCTACAGTTGATTTGTATAGAGGACTGCAGCTTTCAGTGACTGTCACGCACTTCGGGTGAGGCCCCGCCGATCCAACACCGACGTGCGGCAGACTCGCAGGCTTCCACTTTACGCTTCGGCCTGCGACGCCTGAAAGGCCTCGAAGTGGCACATTTCGAATTTATTTGCGGGTTGGTCGACCCGTGAGGGGTTGCATGTGTGGTGTTGTGTGGGCCTGACCGATGCACTCATAGAGCAGACGCGGAGTTTGATGACTCATAAACAAGCATTTAATTGAAACAGGGGCAAAGGCAGGAGATTACAAAAATAACAAAGGAGGAAAAACTGATACACGCGATAGAAACAACAGCTATATAACAAAATGTGCTAAAAACACTACAACAGATACAGGCTAAAGACAAATATGCGGAAAGTTAAACTAACGACATGAATCAAAGGAGATACAAGGCAATAATTACAAAATGCTCATGGTGGCGCCTTTGAATTTAAACGTGCGACGCAGCGCACACTACAAATATTTAAAAAAAAAGGCTGGTAATAATAATTTAACAGTTAAAAAAAAAGTCACTATAAAAAGTTCCATACGGACCAGGCCAGCTCTTGGTGCACGTAGGGGAGTTGACGGGTGCCGCTGAAGATCTCGCCGGCTTGGTAGATGACGAGGGTGCCCGGAATTGCAGCCGTCTCAATACGTTGCGCGGGTCACTCCATGCTCGCCGCCTACGCGAGACTCGCGACACCGACGACCGCACTTGTTGCTGGCTGTACGTCAACTGCCTATTCCGATGCAGTCCAAACCTGTTCACGGGCGTACACGTGACCCCGTCTCATCTGGGGGTAATTTTCCTTTTTTTAGGCCGCCGGTTCCCCTTTCGGTACAGGTGCAGGGAAGACAAGCCGGCGCCACGCTGGGTCGTTAGTCGCCGGATGTCGTCCCCCGAACACAAAAGCGCCCCTCTTTGGAAGATGGGGCCCGCGAATAATCCGAAAATTGGAGTCGTTTGTGACAGTGACTACTATTTCAATAACGTGTGAGATAGAAATGTTCCCATACATAAGCCAACTTCAGTAATCACGATGTGGATGTATGATTATTATATATCCACCTCCTACCATTATAACTCGCCTTCTCCAAACACTATTCACATAAAAGCAGCGCCAAAAATGGAGGAAAATAGAAAGAAGGAGACAGACAGTGGCCCTGACTTACAGCGGCCCTGACTTGTCCTCTGTTTTGGCACTGTTTTTGTGTAAAATGTAGCTGTCACGACTTCATGGTGCGAGTTGCCGATAATGTAAGCAGGGACTTATCCAGAATTTCAAGCGTTTTTTTTTTGGGGGGGGGCAATGGGTGGAGATAAGTGTTTGCTGTCTGTAAGAAGGGATCGCACGGTTTGTGTGGATTAATTTTGGGGATTTTCGGGATGCTGATAGGGGCATGTTAGGGAGATGTCGGGGCGGGACGAGTAAGCCCCGGATGCCATAGCAAAATCTCACAGTCAAATATTGAATTTAATATAAACGAGAACTATTATACAAATAGGTTCATTGAAACAAAATTGCACTATCTCTCCCCCCCTAAAGGAAAATCATGAGTAGCATGCGAAGCAGTGCATGGGTTGGCTTAAAGTTCCTGTTAACCACGGGCACCTTGCCCGATGCTAACGCGTCCTCGCAAGTCGAGCACGTTATGGAGGTTAAACTAATAAACCTCCCTGGTTCTGGCAGTGCTTGGGTGCCGTAAGGGTGGCCACACACACCGGATTGAGCTCGACAATAAGCTGCTTCGCATCTAAAAGGCAACTATACCCGCGGCGACAACTTCTCTTGGAACTGAAGGCAAAGCTACAGGGGCGCAGCACATGTAATATACGCGAAGTATACGCGCGTCCCGTAACGCGGTGGAAAGTGACGGGGGCGCACCGCCATCGTTTCATGTAGACGCTGACGCCGCTTAGCGTTTGAGGTGCACGTAAAAAGGCGGGACTTTCTCGGGCGTTCAAAAACGCGAAGTCACAACGAATAAGTATATGTGACTATCATAATGGTGGAAGCTGCGCGAGGCTGTCCCAAATACCTCCATGTCGAAAATAGAGGAGGAACACTTATATTTCACTTTGAAAATTCGGGCGCTATTCTGGAACCACAGTCACTGGCGGTAGTATGCACGCGATTTGGCTCTGTAGCCTTCGCTTCAATGCCAAAAAATTTGTTGGCTGTAGTGTACATGTTCGAGTACGGGCTTCAAGACAATCTACGTTCGTTTGGTACGATATGGTGTGCATCTTGCACGTTACGTATGTCATTCTACAGGAAGATTATCGAATTCGACATGGCAGACTTTTGAATCGAAGTGGTCGCGTAGCTCTCGTGGCCAATCAGAGCTCTCGGGGCAGCGATTTTGACGAGATTGCAAAATTTTTCGGTGTTCCGAATAATTACGGCGGAAATAAAACATTCTTCTCATTGCGAATAACAACCAGAAACACGAATTGCGTTTGTTCCACGCCTTTTATCTGGTACGTGTGAAAAAATAAGCTCGTATCAAAGCAGCTAGGTTTGCTGCTGTAGCTGTTTCATTATCTTTTTTCTTGTCACCGGATCGTCATATATGGCAGTGAGCAAATACAGCAGCTTTTCTGAGCCATAAACGTCATGTTTCGCGGAATGCTTCGTGCTTTCGACGCTTGTACATACGCATAAGGCGCGTTGCATTGTACACACACTGCTATGTGTCTCGGTGTTGGACAGGTCCGCAGTAGTGTTATTGTGTGCTAATGTGTTCAGATGTTCACTGAGGTGTTAGGAGTTGCCAGCGATGCTACATCACCTGACAATACGCGGCATTTAGCGAGCAGTCAACCATCTAGGCCCGTAGCCAGGAATATTTTTCGGGGGGAGGGGGGGGGGCATTTGCTGGAAGCTTTGAAAACACCTATTTTTACTATTTGTCTTCCGTAAAACACCCCGTCCATCCAATTTATTTTTGAGGGAGGGGGGGGGGGGGTTCTTTTACAGCACCTCCCTCTGGTACAGTGGCTACCCCTGACTATACAGGCCTGCAAGCATCTCCGGTGTTACAGAGATCGAAACCGAAACCAACACAAGCCACCGGCAGGTGGTACCGCAGGCTCAGGAAATGTTTAGTTCAACGAACACGAACTTGGGCACTCTGAGCGCTTGTTATCAATCGCAAAAAAAAAAAGACAAATGCGTTTTATTAAAAATCACAGAAATAAGATCGAAAGTTTCTTGAATATTGTGAATCCCTTCACTACTGTGGTTGTGCATGTGAAACCAGCTTGTGCAATGTTAGAAATATACAAAACATGTGAGACACAAATAATTAAAATACAGCTAAAGTATAGCTCTGCGCATCCATCTATTGGCAAGTAGAACGGACGTAAAAAACCCTGAAAAAATTTTATTTCTCTCGCCAGCGCGCGTCTAGCAGAGTGGCGCAGTGGAAGCGTGCTGTGCCCATAACCCATAGGTCCGTGGATCGAAACCACGCTCTGCTATCAATATTTTTAGCTCTGTTTTTTTTAAAAAAAATCTTCTGATATTGTTTTTTCATATTTCCGTGCCGCGTTCTGGTGATATTTTCATTGCCATGTTTCCTCTACCTGAAAAAAAGAACATTTTTTTAAACACCACGATCCCACAGGCTCCTGTGCGTGACAGGGGAGTATGCTCCGCATGGGAACTATTGAAGGTCCCTGGACCGTAGTTGTCTTCATAGGTTATCGGACATGTCCACTTCGGCGAAGTGCATTCACTTACTCGAAAAAGCGCAAGGCGTGACGTCACGGAGCTCTTGACCACATCGACGCACGAACCCGCCAGCACATTCCTATCGTAAAGGAATAGTAAAGCGATGAAAGTGGAGGAAATGTACCATAACAGGACTCTTAAACAAGCTTGACAAGTCTGATGTTGCGTTTGAACGTGATGACATGTTGGGAGAACGATTCAGGCAATGCATACCGTTCAGGGGCGTCAGACGGGTGGTTGCGTTCTACCTAATTCAACGGCTAACGTGACTAGAGTTTGTGCAGGGCCTTTGAGATGTGCGTTAATAAGGGGATCTCTGGGGCAGCATTGGTTGCTGTGAAATGCATTCTGTACCTCTCATTCGTGTGAAGAGTTGTTAAAGCTTCGTAACGTTAAAATGACGTTGCGGGAGAAAGACCGAAAACAGGGGGCGTGCTGCTCGCCGAGCTCCACGAAATCACTGAAGGCCTCCGTGGACAGTCTACAAGGTGGACATAGCGAGAATCGCGCCCTAGGTCGCGATGAACACCGACACAAGCTACGCAATCGACAAGTATTATTTTATTTTTACCACATCAATAAAAGTAATTACGCGCCTCAAATTCTCATTCATGTTAATAGGAAGTTTTCGAATAGGGGCCGTAAACGTTTGGGGCCTTTTGCGTATGCACGGTTTGAATCAAGCAGGAGCGAAGAGTTTGAGAATAGGGTTATTGGTGCTTTGGATACTCTCCCAATTCTTGGTTATGTCACTTCAGTGGGTGCCATCACGTTTGTCTGACGTGAAGCTTTTGGGGCAGGCTTTAGGACTCCCGCTAAATTCGAGAAATAGCGTTCCCTACACAAAACTCAGCCGTGGTTTGGGTTATGCGCATGCACAGTGGCTTTGACGCTATTTTAGATGCGGAGCATCTTATACTCGCGCCTTGTAGTGCGCCGTTTGCGCCGTCCGCGCCGTCCGCACCGCTTCTCGAACATTTGACAGCTGACGCGCGCGCATGCGCCGTCGCGCCGTCACCCACTCTTCCACCATCTGTGCATCCCTTCCTCCTCTACACACCGCGCGTGCTTCACTCCTCCACCATCTGTGCACCCTTCCTCCTCTACACACCGCGTTCGACATCTACAATTCTCCTGATTCTCCAGTGGACGCGCATGTGGCGTCGCGCTTCGAGAACATTCAACAGCTGACAGTGCATGCGCCGTCGAGCTGTATATATACTCAAGGTCGGCGCTCGCTCGCTCAGTTGCCGCTCGTCGGTTGGTTTGTACGGCGCGTCGACGTCCGAGGTCGCGGTGAAATGAATTCCAACGAATCCACAAACACAATGATCGACGTCCCTTCGACCAGCGCCGCCCTTTCACATACGTGTGTACGTGTTCACTCATTTAACACCCCCTCCTATAACCACGTTAACCAATTTAGCCATCGACCCAAGTAAGTCGCAATTTAACACCCCATTTCACAACCACGTTAACCAATTTAGCCATCGACCCAAGTAAGTCGCACTTTAACACCCCGTTAACCAATTATATGCTCCGCATCCTCCTCAGTGTTCCCCCGAGGGAAGCTGCGGGCAATTTTTCTTTGTTTCCCCAAACTTTTGGGGCCCCTACTTGAAAAATTCCTAATAATATTTAAAGGGGTACTAAATTGAATCAATGAATTGATTTAGGTTCATACACTGAACTCTGAAAACTCTAACGTGGTATATTATTATTAATAATGAAAATCAAGGTCAAAGTATGATTTTGAAATTTCGCGCTGCAATCTCCGCGAGCGATGTCACGGATCTCAAGGTTTTTTTTTTTTGTACATTTCATACTTGGGTGCCATTGGCTCAGTGAAGCACTTTGACATTCAGTATCTATGTCTGCGGCACACTTGGAGGACAATGTATTGTGAAGCGCTTAGAACCTAGTGGACGCCGTCGAAATTTACTCTGTCATGACGACTGGTGCTGGAACATTCAAGGTGGCATAACCATTAGACATCCACATCTTTTTCAGCATTCTTCTCGCAGAAAGTCTCGTGGTTTTGGTGTTGTGAAAGAGTAATTTACTACTACGAGAGAAACTATCGTTCTGTTTAGAGTTTATTCAATTACTGGGGTCGCACCAAACAACTCACTGCGGTACCTCGCGTCTGAGGTGTAGGAGTGCTTACACATCGAGGAAGCGAATCGATTTCCCGTCAGGCGGTCACATGTCTATAAAAACGACATTAAGAAACGGCAACGAAATATAGGGACCTGGCCATGATGGTTTTTCGGGAAAGGGACGGGCACACAATATATAAAGCTTCTGTCCTTATCAACCTAATCGGATGTTCATCATTCGCTCGAAAAGGGGATTGATCCTCTAACATGGTCGGCTATGTACTGGCGCACTGGCGAAGACCCCGACCACGATAAGCCACCCCAAATTAGCTGCTTACTGTGGAGGAAGCGCAGAAATATAGAATACAGACGTATACACCTATGCACAGTTGGGCACATATATACAACTCTTGCCCGTGGTGTGGGTCCTGGCCTACACTGCCCAAGTAACACAAGAGTGCGACGAACGATATCGTGCAGTTCACCTATGGCACTGACCTTGCCTGGTGAGCCCTGGGAGGCCATCCTAGCTGTTGCTGATCTTGAGGCCCACAAGGGCGTATTGAATAAAGTTGGAGGGGTCACGAGGTCATTTATGTTTGGGACTGGGACCTACGATGACACTCTCAGTTTATTCCCTTATAATCAATAAATACCCATTTATTACTTCACTTACCGTGCTCGCCTTTCCGGAGGACACCTCAAAGATGCCACGAGAGACATTGGGTGTTGTAATTTTCCTATATACACGTTAAGAAAAAAAATCGAGTTTAAAAGAGCGTCTTTTTCTCTCCCCAATAATGACAATTTTCTGGCTCGCTTGCGTTTCCTTTCTCGAAAAGTGTGCGCTCGCTTCTTTCTTCTCAAGAAGACTGTGCCTCGCTGACAACGCGCTTGTCCTTCGTGACGTGCAAGTATACGAGCGTGCGGTGAGAGAAAAGGCACGCAAGACAAATGAAAAACAATTGTTGAGTGCAGAAAGACACCCTTTTTAGTCGCTCCTCTCTAAAAGTGTATACGAACAAAAAGGAGTATTTGAGCCATCATTCTGCTAAACAATAAAACGTTATCTATGTCGCGAGCTTTCCTTGCGTTATCACCGCGCACCCGATATCTATCGGCCACGAACAGCGCGCGGCCATCAGTGAGACATCGCACTATTGATAGCAAAGAAGCACGACGGACAGTTTTCAACAATGGAAATGTAAGAAGCCATGACGATTATTGCAGTATGGGAGAAAGACGCCCCAAATATTCCTGTCGTGGGGAGCTGCCAGCACAATTCACTGCGAAGCACCAACTGCGCCGTATTTCGATAACCACCTGCCGAAGTAGTGAAGTGCCCACTGTAGGTGTCTGCACGGCGACATTTGGACATTGTAGACGTTGCAGCTAAGATGTTGTAGACAAGGTAGCTCATGATGATTCGAATGAATTGTGGTTGAACCCTTAATTTCTAACGAGTTGGCAGCTTTAAGCCATTCATTTGTTACGCAATCAACTGGTGTGACGCATGATGCGATTGTTTATTTCAGCCCTTCTGCCACGTACTTTAATCAGTTTGTGTGTGATGAAATGCTAATGATGGTCGGTAGCCGCGTGGGTGCTCCCTGTTGTTCCAAGACAGCACTCCTGGTGCCCGGAACAAACGGTGCAGAGAGGCACCTTTCGAGCCAGCATTCCTGACCAAAAATAATTGGGTGAAGTTCAGTCTTGTCTGGTGTCCGTTGTCATGGCTACGTTCCGGGACAACGCTTGGGGAAAATATAGCATATGTGAAACATGAAGAAAAAGGTTTAACAATAGACTAACGCCAATTATAACTGTGGCGGAACAGTATAAGACAGTTACAAGCGCAATCTATTTACACTTGTTGGCGACTTCAACGTATACACAACACATGAACCTGACCTAGCTTCGCGCACTCGTCATAATTCACTTCGTGGAGATGCGTGGACTTTTTAGTTCGGGGTTATAGCAGGAAACAGTCATTTTCATTATTTATTTCAGTTAATATTTATTTTAGGTAAAACACCCACCTCCATCAGCACTACAGAGAAGGGGGGGGGGGTGAACCCCTAGGGCAGTACCCCTTGCTATGGGCCTGGCCCAACGCAGTACTTTGTAGTGGGTGTGCAACTTTTTTCTTGGTCTTATTGTTACTTTCTCCCACCGCTCCGTTTTGTTAAAACAGATATGAAAGTATAAACAAAGGGGACGGGCAGGGCTGTCGAGAGTTGACTCAGAACTCTCTTCTGCTTCGGCTGCCGGCACGATGCGACTATAGTGCGTACTTACGAAGTACCTTGCGTTAAATTAATGCAGGAAAGATTTCTCCAAAATTTGACTTCGCTGATTGTTATGTGCAGCACGCCCACACACTGAGCAGAAAGTGTTGAAGAACGCGAGCAACGTGCGACTACGAGTCCATCATGTACTAACAGTGCACATTTCTTTTCGTGTCCCAGTCGAACGTCAGCCTGTACGTGAACCGGCTGACGTCGGACGAGTCGGTGCTGCCGTACGAGTACCACCAGTAAGTGCTGCGTCGTAGAGGAACGAGTATTGGCGCCTCCTACTTTTAAGCGTAGAGCACTTTAGGGGGCGCGGCTGTCGTTTTCTGTCGTCGTCGCATGGCGTGACGCTCCATGCGTAGCATATTCAGCGCTTGCTCGGGCCAATTCTTATAACTCTTATTCTTAAAACACCTCGATAATCATAGTTGACCGGGCGCTTTCGCCAAGAAAAAAACTCTTCTGAAAAAATAAGAAAATAGTGTGCTTGGTGTAATGCAGGCAGAACCACGTATGAAAATAAAAAAAAGGAACCAAAGATAAGATATCATCGTCATCAGCCCGATTACGTCTACTGCAAGACAAAGGCTTCTCCCATGTTCCGCCAGTCAACTCGGTCCTGTGCTTGCTGCTGCCAATTTATACCCGTACACTTCCTAATCTCATCTGCCCACCTAACCTTCTGTCTCCCCCTAACCCGCTTGCCTTCTCTGGGAATCCACTTAGTTACCCTTAATGACCAGTGGTTATCCTGTCTACGCACTACATGCCCAGCCCATGTCCATTTCCTCTTCTTGATTTCAACTATGATATCCTTAACCCCCGTTTGTTCTCTAATACACTTTGCTCTCTTCTTGTCTCTTAAGGTTACACCTACCATTTTTCTTTCCATTGCTCGCTGCGTCGTCCTCAATCTAAGCTGAACCCTCTCTGTAAGTCTCTACTTTCTGCTCCGTAGCTAAGTACCGGCGAGATACAGCTGTTATATACGTTCCTCTTGGGGGATAGTGGCAATCTACCTGTCATAATTTGAAAGTGCTTGCCAAATGTGCTCCACCCCATTCTTATTCTTCTAGTTACTTTAATCTCGTGGTTCGGCTCCGCAGTTATTACCTATCCTAAGTAGACGTAGTCTTTAGAACTTGAAGTACACTATTACCTATTTTGAAGCGCTGCTCTCTTCCGAGGTTGTTGTATACTACTTTCGTTTTCTGTAGATTAATTTTAAGACCCACTTTTCTGCTCTCCTTGTCTAACTCCGTAATCATGAGTTGCAATTCGTCCCCTGAGTTACTCAGCAACGCAATGTCATCGGCGAAGTGCAGGTTACTAAGCTAATCTCCAATAACTCTTATCCCTCACTCTTTCCCATTCTAGGCCTTCTGAAAACCTCGTGTATGCACGCGGTAAATAGCATTGGGGATATTGTATCTCCCTGCTTTACACCTTTCTTGATTGGTATTTTGTCACTTTCTTTATAGAACACTATGGCAGCAGTTGAATCACTGTAGAGTTCTTCTAGGATGTTTATACATGCTTCGTTGACCCTTGATTACGCAGTGTCTGCATGACTGCTGATATTTCTACTGAATTCAAACGCCTTCTGGTAATCTAAAAAGGCTATGTATAGTGGTTGGCTGTATTCTGAGCACTTCTCTATTCTCTGATTGATAGTATGAATGTGGTCGACTGTTCAGTAGCCTGTTCGAAATCCTGCTTGTTCCTTCGGTTGATTGAATTCTAATGTTGCCTTAATTCCGTTAGCAATTACCTTTGTAAATAGCTTGTATATGACGGAGAGCAAGCAGATCGGCCTGTAATTATTCAAGTTCTTGTCATCTTTCTTATGTATTAGGATAATGTTAGCATTCTTCCAAGATTCTAGTAATCTTCCCGTGAGGAGACACTTAGTAAACAGGGGGGGGGGGGGGGGGCTATTTTTTTCAACACAATCTGTCCTACGTGTTTCAGCAGATATGATGTTATCTGATGCTCATCAGAAGCTTTGCCTCTTTGCATTCCCTCCAAGGCTTTCTTGACTTCTTCTATCATTGCTGGTGGGATGCCATCTAGGTTACTGATAGTTCTTATATAAAGGTTGTGGTTGTCCCGGCTATTGTACAGATCTCTGCAAAACTCCTCCGCTATTTTACCTATCCTATCCATATTGGTAGTTACTTTGTCTTCCTTGTACCTTAGTGCATTCGTCTGATTTTCGACTATCCCTAGTTTCCTCTTCACTGCTTTGACGCTTCCTCCGTTCTTCAGAGCGTGTTCGATTTCTCCGTGTGATGCCTTCTGCCATCGGATACCTTACGCTTAATAATCAGCTCCAAAAGCTCTGCCAATTCTATTTTGTCTGTTGTATTTGAGGCTTTGATGCTTTGACGCTTCTTGGTGAGGTTCTGAGTCTCCTGGGACAGCTTGGCAGTCTCCTGTCTATCTACCGTACCTCCAACGTCCCCTGCGCACTCGGTAATGATTCTCGTCAGATTATCATTCATCGCATCAACGCTAAGGCTGGTTTCCTCGATAAGAGCCCAGTACTAGCTCTGAAGCGAGACTCTGAATTCCTGTACTTTCCCTCTTGGTGCTAGCTCATTGATTGGCTTCTTGCTTATCAGTTTCTCAAGACAAGATACACAAAGGGTGAATAGAAAAAAAGGAAGAAAAATAGGAGCAAGGAAGAGGGAGAAATTGAAAAATAGAGAGGAGTTGATAAATGAAAAATTATAGAAAAAAAAGACAGAAAAATAAGGCCGGCAAAAGAGGAAAGGAAAGAAAGAGAGGAGGAAGAAAGAAGTAAGCCGAGAAGGAACAAAGTAGGCTGCCCTGCTCTGCACTTCCCTCGGGCTTGGCACCCCTAGCGCTAAGCTGCCTTATTTGTTTTTTCCCTTGGCTGGCTCGCACGAAAATAGCTATTTTTTTTCATGCTTTTCGTAAAGTGTTGCCACGTGCAGCTGGCTATTTGTCACTTTACTAGTAACAGTACCGCGCGGTAGAACGCTAAATTGTGTGTGTAAAATGCTATGAAACAAATGCATGCCTGATCCCATGTCCTCAACTTATGCTAAAGCACGTCGTCGGGAATTATCAAATAATCTTAGTTGTTAAAGTGTAAAAAAATAGCGACAGTTTCTTCTATCGAAAGAATGTTATCAACACAATTATTATAAGCATCAATAAAAATAAAATGATGCTTGAAGTGCCAAGATCAGTAGAATTACGAAAGGCGCTACAATGCACTATGAACGAGTCCCGAATAATAATGACCACCTGGCTTTTTTTCAAATGCTTCTAAATCTATGCATGCAGAAGTATGGATGTGATTATTTTTTGTTAAATTTCATTTCTTCTGTTTTGTATTAACACGCTGTTGCGAATAATAACGAATGAATGCTCAGCCACACTACCACAGGGACAGTGACTTTCATAGATATCAGACGCGCATGAGGGCCTAAACACAAGTTCTGGTGAATGAGGTAGATGGATGAGATAGAGAGCGCTCAGGAGCGTCAATATTCAAGTAAAATCGGGATATATTGTTGGCCTGAAACAAGTTGAAGCACTTGGCGTAGGATGTGGTGTGAAAAATAACTTCGTAGAAGAGGAGTTGGTGACACCATCACAGCAGGCTTCAACCACAGGGTTGCGATGTTTTCGAGAGTTATATTTGAACTAGAAAATGGTTTATTCAGTACAAGCGACCTGTCACCAACCTTGGGCTCCTCTGTGCAGCTTCGACTTCTGCAGAACCAAGGAGCCGGTGTCGCCGGTTGAGAACCTCGGGCAGGTCGTCTTCGGCGAGCGCATTCGCTTGTCGCCCTACAAGGTAAGCTCGCGAGCTGCAATTACAGCTGACAGCCAGCCACGTCTATGCGTCCGCAATTTTACTTGTTTTCTGGTTATTGCCTCGGCTGCACGTTTTCTTTATTTATTGTTATTTATTTGTTTAATGTTGTAACCCAAATCACGCCATTAGACATTAGCGTAGCGAGGGCATTACAGCACTTTAAAAGTTTGCGCAGCATGAAAACGATGGCGAATTAACGTTATTGTAAACAAGTTACTTTCCTGATGTGCTTTCATGGCCATTACCCACTGTTTTCTCCCATGAGCATCTATGACGTAGCTCGAAGCTTTTGTAAGAGTTTTGATGCGTTCCGGCTGGTGTAAGAGAGAAAGTGCAAGCGTACAGTGAAGTCATCTAAAAAAATATTCACTCCAGAACAGTACGCAAGAGCAGATGTGATAGTATCGTGACGTTACACACATTATGTTGCAAAGTCGGCCGGTCCGTAGCATAAGCAGGCTTAGAAACACAAATATCGAGAATTCAGCCTGTGTATTGCGCACTGAGTGCTCACGTAAATTCATGCATAGCTATGCCAGACAGACAGTGATTATTATAGGACCATACAGGCTTTGTATGCATACCTCAAACTTGTGATCTTATACTACAATTTCTTTTGCGCAATCTTATGCTCGACATAAGATGTTTACGTTTACTTATGTCACGTAAGGAATACATGATGTTGCGTATATATGGCGTGAAAGCGTTGCTGCTTTTATCAACGAAACAAATAAAACTCGCTGCAGCTCCCGTTGAAGGGGCTGAGAGCTTAGTCAAGACGCTCTATGTACGCCAGCTTTTTTTTGCAGCGGGGCTGTTTTAAGCTTTTCGTTGCGCCAGTATGTATGTGCAAATCACGTATGTGCAAAGCAGCTGCTAGCATAGTGTACACCCATGGATAACATGGTACAGCGAAAATGTGGGAAAGGGAAGTGTGGGTGAAGAGAACTGGGAGGATGAGGAGGAATTAAAGGAACAGCTGGGAGGTTGAATCATCGCATAGGCTTGCACAGTTTAGCAAGGGGCAAGTAAAAAGAGTGGCAAGAAGAGGTGAGAGGATAAAACATGGCATAGCCATAACCATGTACGGATGGCATATCAAGAGGATGGAAAGGCTAAGAAGTGAGAATGAGAGCGATGGAATTAAGGCTTGTAAAGGGGGGAGTTGTTAGGAGGCTAATGAGGAGAGAGGGCAATAGAGATAGAGATAAGTAAAGATAGATGAAAGAAAAAATAAAAAATGAAAAAGAAAGAAGAAAAGAGGATTTGCAAGATGTAGAAAGACAAAAGTACTTTATCTGCGTTTGTCAGCTGGCGGGGATTTCTAGATGGCTCCGTTGTTAAGCAAGGGCTGACTTCTGGTATTGTTGGTACGGCTTATATGAAGTGTTTAGCGAAGGTTAATTGATACCTGAAAAAACGAAGGGCACAAACGTACGCTGGCGCTTACTTTCAGCGAATGTTTCGTTTGAATTCGGATTGATTGAATTATATGATGGGTTTAACGTCCCAGACCACCATATGATTATGAGAGATGCCGTAGTTGAGGGCTTCAGAAATTTCAACCTCCTGGAGTTCCTTAACGTGCGCCCAAATCTGAGCACACGGGCCTACAGCATTTTCGCCTCATCTAAAATGCAGCCGCCACAGCCGGGATTCAATCCCGTGACCTGCGGGTCCGCAGCCGAGTACTTTGGCCACTCTAGATTACCGCGGCGGGGCCATTTGAATTCGGATCGCACTTATTTACACATTTAAGGACCAATATTTCCGCACGTGCAGGAACAGTTGCAACAGTATATGGTTGCATGTGTGATCTGTAATTAAATAATTGGTTGAACGTGATCGTCGGTTCCTTTTGCCTTTTCAGGTAATGATAATTCCTCGTTAAATACTTCATACTCCGCTGTTTACTCATATCACGCAGGCGTAGAACTGCTAATAGTATTTTTTTTCTTGCCACTGACGTTGTATTTCAAACAACGCAACAAGTTAATCAATTGAAGCTTTGAAGTGATTACCCGTCTTGATTATTCAGCTGTAACAACACTGCAGCGGTATCACCTTAAAGAAGTGAGCATACGATGCAGACAACAGATAATGCCTAACCAAATATTACTATCACGTGGAGAGAAGCAGATATGACGATCATAGTAATTTCTTTTTTTTCTTTCTTTATATCCTGCTCTTCTCCTAGGGACTTTTTGTCCTCAATCCCTTTCCCCTATAGAGAGTAGCATGTAGGCGCCTTACATACGCTAGCACAATTCTATCTAATTCATTAAAGAACCCCCCCCCCTCTCTCTCATTTCAGGTCGTTCTGATAATGCACGTTCATCTTAGAGGCTTCTTGTGCGCGTATTCACAGCTGTCCCAATTTAGGCAATGAATTTTACCATTCGACCAGTCACTTTTTCATTTTAAAAAGCGTGCGGTGGCTTTCTACCGCCTTGACTTCGTTTATTCGACACGTATACAGCATTCGCTTACTGAGATGCTGCTGCCTCGCTTCATCACTGCCATTCGGATATATCTCCAGACACATGAATACGGCTGTCGGCCGTACTCTCCTCGAGGCATCGAGTGTAAGCCCATTCACGAAAGTCGCAGTGTGAATCTATGAAATAGGGCTGACACAAACCTCCTTTCCACACAAAACGAAGCCCATTGGTATATTGAAATCAGCCTGGAATCCGCAAAACATTTAGTGTTGAACATTGCGTTGTATGACTTGTCAAACATTTAATAATAATAATAATAATAATAATAATAATAATAATAATAATAATAATAATAATAATAATAATAATAATAATATTAATAATAATAATAATAATAATAATAATAATAATAATAATAATAATAATAATAATATAATAATAATAATAATAATAATAATAATAATAATAATAATAATAATAATAATAAATCGCAAGCCGGCGCGAACCATGCCACACAGTCACAGCGAAAGCTGGAAAAGAAGCCTTTCTAGACCGCATTGTAAGCTTTCCAGGGCGACTGCTACAGGGACACTTGCAAGGCATTCACTATGCCATAAAACCATCGTAATTTTGGAGAAGCACATAGGCACCCACTATGCCCTTATTCTACATACTGCTGAGAAGCAAGATATCCGCTACACACCTGTAGACATTGTGTTCGCTTAGTTGATGCGGCTGATGACGATGAAGGCGAGCCCTTTGTGATGGGTTTGAAACATTAAATAAGTGTGAGTCCTGGCTATCATTTTGCCCCGCCGCGGTGGTGTAGTGGCTAAGGTACTCGGCTGCTGACCCGCAGGTCGTGGGATCGAATCCCAGCTGTGGAGGCTGCATTTCTGATGGAGGCGGATATGTCGTAGGCCTGTGTGCTCGGATTTGGGTGCACACTAAAGAACCCCAGGTGGTTGAAATTGACCCCCCCCCCCTTCGTATTACGTCAGTGTATGGGGCTAAATAACGTATGCTGTCGGGCTAATTGGCGCATAGATGGGATGGCATTCATAGGGCGCAGAAGTAACAATGAAGAAAAAAAGTGAGAAGAAACAAAGGGGGCTGAACTTGCACCCCGCTCCCCTTTTCCCCCTCATGTGCACTCAATGGCCACGTGGGTCTTTCCCAATTAAAGATTTACCCCGAGCTCTGCGCAGATCCGCTTCTTGGAGAACCAGACTTGCGTGCCCCTGTGCAGCAAGACGTACAGCATCGACGACCCCGCCTCCATGAAGAGGCTGGAGAAGCTCAAGAAGGGCATGAGCAAGCACTACATGCACCACTGGTGAGCACGAGCCGGGAGCGGGGCCGTCAGGAGGTGGTGTTGAAAAACAAAGCACTGCCCAGCTTCGTAACGAATTAGATCTAAGTAACAGCATATGGGCCCAAGACTGTTCTATTTATAGAACCGACGTGTGCAGCAGATGTTCCACAATTCTGTTTTTGAGCTAGTATACTTGTAAAGGCAGCATCGTGATAGTACAGACAGTAAGATAGCTCAGTCAGACAGATCTCAGTGAAAATGTTTGCATATTAAGATTCACTAAGGAGACGAATGATTTTGTCTTATTAGAAAAAAAAATGCTGTTCCACAATTCCGAAATTACTTGCCGTGAGAAAATGATTGGTAAGCGAGAAAGCACGCAAAAATAAAATGGGACTGGTGACACCACCTTCAAATTCGTGCGCCAAACGTAATGACGTCATATATTTGGACGGCATGTACGAGCTCCTATGTAATTCCTAATCAGTAAAAACAAAGTACGTTTTCTCTGTGGGGCCGTAGACTTGATATACCAAGTTTCAGTTCATTTCGTTGAACCTTGTTGAACCAATGCTGCCAAAATACAAAGAATACATTTTATTAACGCCACAAGCGTTGATTATGGCGCGAAATTTTAAAATGAGAATTCTATCTTGAGTTTCTCGCGCGTTAATAAAATAAACCTATGATGTTTAAATTACCAGACTTCGTATTCTCAGAATAAATTTACTAATCCAAAACAGCTCGTTGTTTCATCGGATGAACAGCGCTGCAACGGGACAAAGAAGGAAGGAACAGGACCACGTGCTGTCCAGACCTTTATTTTTCTGTGCCGTTGTAGCGCTGTTTATTTGAAGTTCAGTTTATACCAACAAGTCTGCATTAACCCTTTATATCCATGTCTCACTTCAACGTCTTCTTATTACAATGACACTTTTTGCCCATGTGATATGAGATTGAATAACGAGTATATGACAAGGTAGCGGACACGGTTAGGTGTAGAGATTGTGGCAGATACGCAAGCTATTCAACTACTGAGCTTCATTTAACCTGCCTTCATGTGCACTCCGGCTTCGCTGGTTCCTCTTCGGATGCGGGAAAGCCGAAACGTGGTCAAATAGTTGTGCGCATGAAGCTTAGCACCATAGACGAAAGAGCGGAGCAAGTCTTTTGCTGACGCCCCTGGACTGTGATGATGGCGAAGTAAATTGCCACTTAAGTAGATGCTCTAGGATTTCTGCGGAAAGATCCTGTTTGGCGTCAACGGTGAGAAATAACAGCGTGCGTCCTGAAGCTAATAGATGAAGACGGAATAAGCAGATGTCTTATTGAAGTTATTAGCTATTCCCGAGCGCTGGAATATTTAGTCCCTGTGATTTCAGACTCTTCGAATACTGTCCTTGAGCAAACCAAAGAAGTGATGGCACCCGTCATAAACTATGTACGAAGTATAGAAAAAAACAGACACACAAGGAAGTAGTGTTAACCTTACGGCTATATAATGGCACTAATTTAGGTGGCATAATTACACACGCGGCTACAGCCAAAAGCACATGAATGCCCTTTGAAACGAGAGAACATCAAAGCTTCACTGCTGAAAATGCATGTCTGTGAAGGCACTGTATTTAAAAAGAAGTATGCTTCTAGACCTTTTAGCTCAAGGTTCCACATACACACGTCAGATGCTTGCGTTCGTTCGTGAAAAATTACACTGTCTAACAGACGTATTAGGATAGCGTTGGAATGGTGAAACTATGTTACGTAGACAGTTATTCATCTTTGGCCTATCGCAGGTTTATGCCTTCGTCTTCGTCGTTGTTTAAGGTAATTTCTTGTACATTACGGTGTATTCATCTGTTCTGCACTGCACTCAGGATCGTGGACAACATGCCGGTGACGTGGTGCCACTCGACGAGCGAGCTGAGCGGCCAGACGTGCAGTATGGGCTTCCCCATGGGCTGCTATACGTTTCGCAACAGCGTGCCCCGAGGAATATGCGGAGTCTACGTAAGTCACCGAGAAAAGGCCTCTACGTATATTGTTCTCGCATTCTTCGTGCATATATTAGCATATATACTTGTATATTCCTATTATATGTAGCGATGACAAGGAAGAAAAATTTAAAGCGACCTCAGTGTCCCGTTTAAGTGTCTTTAGTCCATATCGCCAGCCTTTAGTGCTTAGCGAACTCACCTGGGTAGACACTATAGGGAAGTAAGGTCACCCTGTATGTACGGGGTGAGTGCCACCTTGATGACAGATACCCGTAAAAAAGCTGCAGGATTTGCAAAGCCCGCGCTTAAGTCTGCACGTGGGCTTTGCAATTAACTCCGGCAGCTTGTAGTCGTGCTCTCGAAGCTGATCTCGGAGGCTACGTTGAAAGAAGATCGTGGTTCAGATCTTTGCCAGGTGCCGCAGCGATTTCAGCCGTTGCAAGAAAACCGTCTGCTCTTAGAATTAACCCACTTAAGTTTCAATAATAATCCTGACAGTTCACTTATCTAGCTCTTATCTTAACTTTGGTCCACTCTATGTGACTATCGTATGCAAGTATCATATTCATTTTATGCAACTCTTAACTACATCTTCTTTCTTACTTATTTATTTATTTTTTTGAACTTTCATCTCAATCGAGCCATCTCTCAACTTTCGGTTATCTGCCGGTGAATACCGATAATCTCTTTGAAAAACACGGTGTCAATAGTTAAAAAAAAACCCTGTGACAATGAGCTCCAGGCCAAACGAAAACACGTTGCTCTAAAAACGTCCGATCTTTGAGACTCCGAACGTGACTGGCCGAATTTGCGGTAGTTCTAGGAGACGCACAGATCAACGAGGCAAACGTTGATGATATGTGGGGTTTAACGTCCCAAAACTACCATATTATGAGAGACGCCATAGTGGAGGGCTCCGAAAATTTCGACCACCTGGGGTTCTTTAACGTGCACCCAAATCTGAGCACATGGGCCTACAGCATTTCCGCTTCCATCGGAAATGCAGCCACTGCAGCCAGGATTTGATCCCGCAACCTGCAACGAGGCAAACATTGAGCTTAGCTGTGGAAACACGGCGCAAAAGCAAAAAAAAAAAACGAAGATGAAGGCAACACGGCGTACACTGGACGACCATGGTACACTTACGACACTTTCAACGACCACACATTTCAGAGACTTTCTGAAACATTTTTAGGGACTCCAACGGATCGTTTATGACAGCCTTTTTGCTGTACTGGGAGTTTTTTTTTCACTGTCAAAATAATTAGTGATGCATGAGTTGTTATACATGTTCTAACTGAAATTTCGTTTCATTCTTTTTTCACGCAACATTCATAAAGATAAGGGGGAGAAGTTCCAAAAATTTTTGTAATAATAAGTTTCGGGTTTCACAGCATACAACGTATGGGGATGGCCAATGATGCTAACGCTATCGCATTATGGTTCCTCAGATTCAACATACGAAGACTTCAGTGCAACATTCTCTTTTTTTATTTCCGGTTGACCATGACAACTTCAGTCTGCGTACTCCAAGCCAGAGACGTTCTACCTGTTCAACCACGTGGACCTGACCATCTCGTACCATAAGAGCGAGAAGGAGTCCTGGGGAAGCTCCTTCATCGAGGAAGGAGGCCGCATCATCTCCGTCAAGGTGCAACCACGGAGGTCAGTGGAGGCGGTGAAGTGCTTTAGCGCGTGCGCCTGTATATATCTTGACATCGCCGTTCAAGCGGCTCTTTCATCGAACTCAGAAACGCTGTTTATCAACTGTCTCAGCTGTCGTAGTAGAGAGGAAGGAATCCCTAAACTGTGTTGGTCCCGGCTTTTCTGAACGACCTGAGCCGCAGTTGGTAGTTTGTCTAGAAGAGACTAAGCAAACCGTCTGTGGCATTTGCGGTGCATTTGTAGCATATGCTGCACTGTAGGTCTCGTTGTATCCTGAAAAGAATTTCAAATTCACAAAACGACTTTTACCTAGTCAGGATTGGGCATGCAACATTGGGCTGTTCGGTTATTGTTTCTTTTTCATTTCTGCTATAGACAATTGGCAGACCCCCCTCCCTTCCCCCTTCCTATATGGGGGTTTTAATTAGCGAAAATGAAATGCATCTTTCGCACTGTGCGAGAGTGTTAGTTCTATATACCGTAAAACAACCTTGAAGGTGTAAAGTGGTTCACTGTGTAAGGCGCTCGTCTGGGGGACTGGGCACTTTCATAAATCGGGTCTTGAGGTCACCTCATAGCGCTTATTCCCACAACTACGTCGTAAGCTTACTAATTTGCGTGCTCGCTGTCAATTCTATAACTATGCGACACCTCACAAGACGAGCAGTGTTTCTTACAGAACTGATTATTTTTCGTGTTCTTGTTCGCGTCGACTATATAGCGTAACGAAACATTGTTCAACGCATTAAACTCGGCTTGTTTATTTTTACAAGCGAACAGCGGTGCGTATAACACAAGGCACAAACACCGCATATTACATGGCGCTGCATCTGCCTACCTAATTCAGCAGGGCGTCCTTTTCTTTACGCTTTAAACCACTTTTGCGCAAGCGGTTTCAAGCACCCAAAACACCCTTTTGCACTACAAGAATTTGCAATGCATCTCGCTTTCCAAGTCACTTTTTTTTTCTGTAAGGAGCAATGTTTTACGTAAAACGCCCTTTGCGAGCTTAAGGCGCTAAGAGTTACCGAAGAATTCACAGAGTTTCATCAATAATCGGAATTCGCTATTCAAAGAAACGATCAGTATTAGGCGAGCTTAGAACAACTAATATGTTTGTACCAATGTTACACGTATTCTGTGGATGTTTATTGTTTAATTATACTGAACAGGAATGTTGCCACCGGCACTAAATGACAGGTCAAGATCCCATGGCTACGTATGCCGAACAGTGTATGGCCATGGCAGTTGCGTATACCCAGAACTTTTTTTTCGGTGGGGGAGAGATGGCTTCGACCGTACTTTTTGTATGTTCGCGCGTGCGTTTGTATGTGTACTTGTGTATGTACACAAGAAGAGTTGAAAATTTCGGGGGAAGGAATGAGAACCCCCCTGGCTACGCCGCTGGTGGCTGTGTAGCACTAGTGGTTTCCTCATGTGGTGTTTTAATTTCAGTATGTTTCGGCGTGTGGCTGTGTTTGTGTGTGCGACATTCCGTGCTTCGATGTTGATAGGTTTCCTGATAGGTAGCCTTTGTTTTTCAGTAATAAGGGACCACTCGAATCCCTCGTTGAGTGGAATGTTGTGGTTCGGGAAAATTCTAGGGCGTGGGGTTGTCGAAAATAGATGCTGTAAACCACCCTGAAATGCTTTAATATTTACGCACACATGAATAAGGGAAACGCAACTGTTCGGTCCGTTAAACCTAAAATCTTTTATTTTTATCTCAATTTCAGCATCGCGCACAAGAAGCGCCCGAACTGCGACTCTGGCGAACCTCTGGCGCTGAGCTCAGGCGAGATGAAAGACACGTTTACCGTACAGTACACGTACAGCGTCACCTTTGTGGTGAGTATAAAGCATGTTTTAGACGTAAAAGAATACCCTGCAAAAGTGTATGCGAGAGTGACCACGCCATCAGTCGTGCACTTTGTAAAGTGCGTCGGACGCGCTAATAATTCGAAGACTGCTGGTTCAGTTTTATCAGCGGCAAAGTTGCTTTTTTGTCCTCTTTGATTCCTTTCCGTTTTAGTAAACGTTATACTTATTCGACTGCACTTTTGCTTTCGTCAACTTAATGGTCTGTTGGTTTGTTTGGGTTCTATGTGACAGAGACATGAGCCCTTGAACTATTCTTTAAGGCATGGTTAAATGTATACCACTTTGCATCACGGCAGTTTATTTGCTCCGTAGTTCTACACATTCCTCTTAAACTTGTCACAGTTGTACAGTATAACTTTTTGCAATTTTGACTTTTCGTTTTAGTAATGATAATAATATTGTTACGAGACAATGCCCCACTTAAACAGTGAGATAGGCGCTGAGGAAGACGAGGTGACTTGTGTGTGCGCGCGCTCTCTCTTGTTCGCCATCTTGGCTTGCGCGTTGGCGCTGTGTAAATATATTTTAAAACGCCTAGTTTCCCTTGTGCCTTCACGCAACATTGTGGTGGAAGGTGCTGGGTTACAACGCACGACGGAGTTACGCAGCGGACGCCTAGTCTCTGCTCCCAACATGTCCACCGGCAGCGACGCTTCCTCAACTGCTACGCCCACTGCATCAATGGCGCCGACCTCTCCTGTTTATCTCGTGGCCGCTCCACCCCGCGATCCCGGCAACTTTTCGGGAACGGACGGCGAGGACGTGGATGAGTGGCTTAAACTCTACGAACTCTTCAGCACAAACCACAGGTGGGACCCAACCTTAATGCTGGCAAACATCATCTTTTATTTACAAGGAACGGCCAAGGCGTGGTTTAATAACAATGTGGACGGTATCACAAGCTGGGACGTATGCAAGACCAAATTACGCGAGTTGTTTGGTCAATCTGCCGGCTGCAAGCAGGCCGCTAGGAAAGAACTTGGCACACGTGTTCAGACGTCCACGGAGTCCTACCTGGCGTATATTCAAGATGTGCTGACCCTTTGCCGTAAAGTTGACCGAACCATGGCTGAAGCCGACAAGGTAGCGCACGTGCTCAAGGGCATCGCAGACGATGCATTTAACCTCATTGTGTGCAAAGGCTGTTCCACCGTGCAAGATGTTATCTTGGAGTGCCAACAGTTTCAAGAGGCTAAAAGCCGTCGCATTGCTTACCACTTTACGCGCCTTCCCAACACTGCTGCGACGTCAACGTGTGCGGATCTCCATGTACCGACCCTGCCCAATTCACACTCCAGTGACATCACGAGAATTGTACGCCGTGAAATCGAAGCCATCTCACCCGCCCCCTTGAGAGCACTGGCACCGAGTGATCCTCAGCCGACCATATCGCTAATACAGACCGTTGTTCGCCAGGAACTAGCCAACGCGGGTGTTCACACAGTCTGTTCTGTGCACCGTCCCGGCGCTGTCAGTTCGTCTACCCCGCACCTCCACCACAATGTTGCGTGAAGGCACAAGGGAAACTAGGCGTTTTAAAATATATTTACACAGCGCCAACGCGCAAGCCAAGATGGCGAACAAGAGAGAGCGCGCGCACACACAAGTCACCTCGTCTTCCTCAGCGCCTATCTCACTGTTTAAGTGGGGCATTGTCTCGTAACAATATGTTTATTTGCCATCGTTTTGGCGTACAGATGGGGGTGATTGTAGAAAAGCTGTCCCTAGACAGCTTGACAGACTCGCTCACTTTGGCAACATGCGGTGAGATGTGAACTTCCCAAAGCGGCTTGTGCAGAAAATGAATGGTTATTTTATGCTGACGAAAAAAGAAAGGCATAAAGTAAAATGCTGCATTATAAGAGTACAGTAACCTAAACTGCCCTACTAGAGAACTATAACCGAAATTCTTAATAATCAACCAATGATAAAGCAAGTTAACGATGTAACAAAACATCACAATATATCCACGGAGTGATTAATGATGAGTGGGGCGAAGCATCCGTCCGTCCATCCGTGTGTCCATCTGTCCGTACGGACGCACGGGTGGACGGACGTATAGAAGCACGTATGGAAGCACGGACGAACGCATGGGTGGACAGACAGATGAACGGAAGCATAGACGGATGCATGAACTAATGGATGGGTGGACGGAAGCATGGACGGACAGACAGACAGACGCATGCGCGGATGAACTCAACAGATGGACGAAGGGATGTACAGAAGCATAGTGGCATGGACGGGCTGGATGGACGGAAGCATGTACGGATGAATGGACGGGCGAACGGACGGACGCACGTACGGATGGACACGCGGACAGACGCGTCACCCCACTCGACGTCATTCACTCCATGGATATGCTGTGAAAACCACTAACTGCCATCTAGTTATATTATTCCCAAGGAAACATAAACACAACGCTATCTATTGAGCAACTCATAAACGAGAGGTGGCTGCGTACTACTACTACTATACCACTACTACTACATAGGAGAAAACGACCCACGGCATAAAGAGCTTCGCCACTAAAATGGTGACTCAATGTACAGGGTAGATAAGTAAAACTTATAAAGATTACAGCTGAAGGTGATCTTTTCTTATGTACATGTAAGATCAAAATGAATATGCCACGTTAGATAGGTATCACAGCCGATGCTCTTACGACGCAGCAAGGTTTCAACAAAAACTCCGACGGCAGGCGAATATAAGGAAATTAGAAAATTTGCATGCATGGGGTCATTTGGCTGGAGCAACAAGACGAATGAATCATAGTAAGATGCGTCCGCTCTTTAGCTGGCATTAATCGGCTAATGACAGTGGCGATAAATTGTAAATTTAAAGTTATAAATACATCTACGAATTACCTGCTTCATCGCATTTCTAATCAAGTCAATGAAACTTACTGTATCTTTTGCCGCATGTCTTTACCCACAGGTTCAGTCGGCTGCAAACATTTTTTACATGCAGTAACATATACAATTTAGTTGAAATTTCCACTGTACAAAACAATTTATTCCCCCAGTTCCTTATGCGTTTACGTAAGACAACTCGAAGGCGAATGACGTCTCTTAAAGACAAACAGGATCTTCTTGTAGATCATGACAGCAGCAGACCACAATGATGACGTCATGGTGAACACTGAGGATTGACGAAAGACCTGGAGAGGGGGAGAAATTTCTGGGGGAGGGGGGAGGAATTTTCGGGGCGCGCGCAGCTCGTGGCATTGCCGTGCTTGGCATTGTTGATCATGCCGGCATTCCTGCACTCTACAGGCACGCTTACTTGAGACGTAAGAAAAAATGTGGGAGGTGGGGCCCTTTCAGAGCTTGAAATGTCTCAGAATGAGTGTACAATTTTAGGGCATTGAAATGTAACGAAAATATTGCATCTCTGCACACAGAGGAACGACCAGATCCGGTGGTCATCCCGTTGGGACTACATCCTGGAGTCCATGCCGCATTCCGATATTCACTGGTTCAGGTGGGTGCAGCACGGGCAGACGGAGAAGATATTGCCGCATAAATCGACAGGTCTCAGGTTATCCCTGTCTATGCCTTGAATGGACGTCGCCTCACGTTTGGCTTAAAAACGTGCCAGACGTGTCAACGTGCGAATGCTCGCTTGCACAAAGTAAATTGCTGAGAAATCATACGCCGGTTTTGGGACGTTAAACCCCACAAATCAATCATCAAACTACTAGCAATGTAGAAAAATGTGCCAAGCATGTGAAAGCACTAGCTTCCTCGAAGGAGACAGCCAAATTAGACATTACATATCTAAATGACCTAGTCAAATGCATTACATCTTTCAATGGCTAAATTGAACAATACATGCTTCAATGAACTACATAAATATAATACATCCTTCAATAACATACCTAATAACATTACATTTCGGAAATACATGCTTAAATTCCCCGACGAAGGCTGGTCCCCGGCTGCCACGTTGGCAATAAAGCATCAATTATCGTCTGTTCGTCTTCTTTACTTGAGCACCTATATTTAGACCGAATTAACTATGGCTTTCTTGTACGTCAAAGAAGTAACTGGAGAAAGGAGACAAATGTGTCGTGTTGAATGAACATTGTTTATCGTTTCTTATACCAGCATCTTGAACAGCGTGGTGATCGTGCTATTCCTCACCGGCATGGTGGGCATGATCCTGGTGCGCACCCTGCACAGGGACATCGCACGGTACAACGAACGCGTCTCAGGGGTGAGTCCTGTGATTGTTTTCTTTTAGTTTCCTATCTCTCTTTCTCTCCCCCAACTTCTTCCTCTCCTGCAAAAACTGTAGTTTTGGGCTCGTTGAATTCACTGTACTAGAATATTTACTCCAAGTTCATGATTCGGAGTGACTCGAAGAAAAGATAAAGTGCTCGTAATGCTTAGAATCGCAGCTGGAGTGCCCATGAAACATTCGGTTGGTCGCTTTCACGATTTCATTCGCATTGCGACGATGCGGAATCCGTTCGTTGCTCGAGCCTCAATAAGCATGTACAAGCTGAATGTTCAGCCAGTCGCCACAGCAAGCCAAGACTGGAAGAGGATACATATAAGTGCACCTTTCGCTGAAAACAGGCTCCTCACTGACGTCACGCCCAATACAGATGCTGCCGACCGGAACTCTTCAGATTTCTGTCACGCGGCGATGTTAAGTACAAAACCACAGAAGAACGCAAGGCCCTGCCCCATTTTTTCGGTCAGAATAAAGCTTAGAGTCCTAATTACATGTTTCACAATAAAAAAAGAAAAGAAAACAAAACGATTAGGTGCTTTTCACAATGACCTTGCCTTAGTTTGGTCCCTGGCTTTCCTGAGGAAAGGACCAGAAGTAACAGCTTTTGGAATGTAACACTTCAATGACATTAGTGGCCATTATAGCAAAAGGCTGCGAAGAAGCAACCCTTGCTCTTTAAACAATGAGACGATAGAATAGTTTCGGGCTGAGTAAAAGTATCCGGACACACTCAGCGCCCTCAGGTGATTAGGGGATGCGGCCGCTACTCCGCCTCCATGCGCACGCCTAAGGGTAGATTCGTCTGAATGTAATGCGTGTTGCCACAACTCACCGGAGCGCTAAAGAAAAAAAAAGGGGGGGGGGGCAGCCGGATGTACTATTGCAGAAGTATTTTCGCCGTCTCTTGAAGTAGGCAATGATTTCACATATACAGAATGTCCCAGCTAACTCCAGCCAAAGAGGTCTGCAAATTTTAATTCAAATATATAGGACTGCCTTGCTCGAAAACAAACTTTGAGTTACCGGGAAATCGCTGCGCAAGATTGTGTTACCTTGTGAAAGGGCAGGGCCGATGACCGATCCTCGCGTAGGGCTTAACAAGCACATAATCAGAAAGTCTGGGTCAATTCTTTGTGAGTTCTTTTTGTTCAAGCTTGCGCAACGTTAGCTAGGACACTAGCATATATGCTGGCGCATGACCAGATGCGTGCCCAAAATTCTATGTTCTAGAAATTTTTATCAGGCACGTAGCATTTGCAGGTCTGGGTTCAAAGCCTAACCCTGAAAGAAAACTTACTTAGTTTATTTATTCAATTACAAGTAGAACCGTTGCTCATGACGTCATACGAAAGCCATGCAATTTGAGTGAGAGGCAAAGTTCTACTGCGTGGCTTTGTCAGTGTCAGTGGTTGGCTCTACCCTAAAGAGCTGCCAGTTCCGCTTATTACACGCGGACTTTAAGCTTCTGTTTTTCTTTTTTGTTGAGTCGATTCTAGAATTTTCTTGTCGCTTGTCACATTTCTTGGGCTTACGTCAAACTTGTTTGGATTTTCTTGCGAACATAGTTGTTTTATCGCTCATCACGTTCACCTATAGCGTGTTTGTCGATAAGATTTATTAGTTGAGTATATAAGTCAAATACACGCGAAAGGAATCAAGATGGGACGTTAATCATGCACTGACAAACGTGCGCATTCGACCGAATAGAGACTATACACAGAAGACAATGTTAAAAAGCAAATATGCGCTTTTGTTCATAGTTGCGCTTACTTTTGCTATACGGGGTAATGAAAATGGTTTTTCAACTCCAACTCTGCTTCGTATTTCAGTGATATTTTTATTATAAACAAAGGATGTTCAAAAATGGGCATATATATATAATTCCGCTTGTCTTGGGGCTTCTTTTATCGCAATTATTCGCTTGTTAGCTTAGTAGAGCCTAGAAATTATGTCCGATCCACTGACTTGTGCGGTAGGGCAGTATTCTGCGGATAGTTTACGTCCGTGCTATTGTGTTCGAAATTCCGTTCATGCTATTGTGTTCGAAAATAGACAAATCGATTGAGAATAGCATGTCCAAAAGCTGCGGCATGGTCAAGATCACGGCGATGCATGCGGAATGACATTACATATTGACGTCATTGTAGCCGCAGTGGCAGCGCACTTTATTCGCAAACAACTTTTCTTGGCAATAAAGGGAAGGCTACGTAGCCAAAGCGGGCGTGTGCAACCGCTGAAGAATACAGTACCACGATTGCGTTCCTCTTTTCCGCGTGAAAATCATGAACACCACATTGCTTGATTTTATACTGTATGATGCTTACAAAGAGATGCAGCACGAGCCAAGGACTTACTTATAATGGTTTTACCTTATACGCAACGTGATTTCATGTTTTTGCCTCTGTTAAAACGTGACACAATTTACGGGTCCTTGAAAGTCAAAATAGTGTCTTCGTGTTTAGGTTAGCGCTTACCGTCCTTCAGATATTCCGACGATTCGCCAAAGGAGCTTGAGACGATTTTCACTGACAAATGACTGTTTAGGCAGATGAATCAATTGGCAGGCAATGTGATATTCGAACATGGCCGTCGTTCGAAGGACGAGTGTAACCGGGCTTCTTCGCGTAGGAGTACTTATGCGGTAGCTCTGCTCCACTTTTCCTTCATTTCCAAGAAAAGTTGTCCGCGCGTACAGCAGACATGAGAACAGCTGCTACGGTAGCGTCATGTTCGATAACCTCTTGGTACCTGGCGTACAGGAGGACGCCCAGGAGGAGTACGGCTGGAAGCTGGTGCACGGGGACGTGTTTAGGACGCCAGAAAAGAGCCTGCTTCTCTCGGTGTTCGTGGGCAGTGGCGTCCAGATCTTCTTCATGACCTTCATTACCCTGCGTGAGTCACTCACTCAACTCACTCACTCACACTCACTCACTCACACTCACTCACTCACTCACTCACTCACCCTCGCTCACTCGCTAACTCACACAATCAATCAATCAATCAATCAATCAATCAATCAATCAATCAATCAATCAATCAATCAATCAATCAATCAATCAATCAATCAATCAATCAATGAGTAAGCTGTATAAACAGAATTAAATCGCAGTACGCATTGGAAGGGGATCATTTCCGAGAAGAGGCCCAAGTATAGGAATTCTGGGAGAACAAACTATCAGGATTAGAAAATAAAACAGGTCCATTCGAAAGAAAAAAATAACAGGCGTAAAAAATAGTATACAACACTAAAAAGGTCTTGGAAAGGATACCAATACAGACAAATAATTATTGATGATAAACCTAGTAACTCAAACAATGTCAGCGGATACGTTTTCAGAAGGCATTTGAAACGACTCAGTGGCAATAGTGTTGAAACAAATTTGTATAGCTCCCTCCAAGTGCAGTTACTGAGAAACAGGTATTTTCTTCCTCCTAATTTGTAGTGACTTCGGTTGAGGAAATACGCTTTGGTGAAAGAGTGGTTACGGTGCTGAGCTGCTGACTCAAAGGTGGCGGTTTCGATCCCGGCCTACATTTCGGTGGAGGCGTAATGGTATAGAGGCTCGCGTGCTGTGCTAAGTCAGTGCACGTTAAGAAACCCCAGATGGTCGTAATTTCCAGAGCTCTCCATTGTGTGGCCTCTCTCATAATCATATCATGGCTCCAAGACGTAAAACCCAGATATCCTTCTTATTTGGTTGGAGAAGAAAGTAATTACCCAAAGTAAACCTCGTTGGGTTTGCCTAAGTGAATGACAATTACGAAAAAAAAACATTAATGGAAACACCTCATGGTGGATGAGCATTTTCAGCAGGCCCATCAGAGCAACCTTATGTCGTAAAATACAGAAAAAACATGGTCAAACTGAGGAAAATAAACTTAAAAGTTGTAACAAAGGGTGTATCCGTCATCATGTTCAATCTTCGTTCGTGAATACTAACCATACGAGTATGAAGTACTTCCAAAAGACATATTATAGTAATATATGCGCTTATAAGAACGTGCGTGGTAAATGAGACGGTAATGTTTAAAGCAGGACTACTCTAGTAGTCTTGTGCCGAAGCTGACTTTTGCAGCAGTGTAAAATGTCAATGTCATCTTTTAGATTGGGCCTACAATCACTCACATAGGCATCGCATAACTGTCTTGTTCCATGTCAACTTTGATTTAATGCATTTCTAGATTATGTGGCGTAGATAAACACCACGTATACATGTGCGCTTAAGCGATGGCATGCATATGAAGATTTTCATGTGACCATATTTCGCGGAGCGCCACTTATCGAGAGCAACCGAATCACGGACGTAGGCCAAACTGGGCGCTCATGTACCCCGGGAGAGTGCAAGTGTAACGCGGTTTAGCGAATAAATTGAGTAAGGTTGCAATGTTGGGTTGTTGTGGAATCTTAGAACATGCTTTTATATTGCACCGCGTATTTACGGTGACCGAACCAAGGTGGGCGCCCCGCCGCGGTGGTCTAGTGGCTAAGGTACTCGGCTGCTGACCCGCAGGTCGCGGGATCGAATCCCGGCTGCGGCGGCTGGATTTCCGATGGAGGCGGAAATGTTGCAGGCCCGTGTGCTCAGATTTGGGCGCACGTTAAATAACACCAGGTGGTCGAAATTTCCAGGGCCCTCCATTACGGCGTCTCTCATAATCATATGGTGGTTTTGGGACGTTAAACCCCACATATCAATCGAATCAAGGTGGGCACTTGAACATATGCAGTAGGCCCGTTTGTTTGTGTGTGTGTGTGTGGGGGGGGGGCGATTATTACTCTGTGGAATTCTGAATTGGGTGCACGATAGGCAGCAGCTGACCTGCAATTCACGCCACTATTCACCTGGAAAGTGTGCTTACAGCTTTCAGCCGGCATTTGCCTGTATCGATGACAAAGCGAAAATGGTTCATCAGAACATTTTTTTTAACAGTACAAACATCACCATATGCATATATAGCTCGCTTTCAACTAATGCAATTGTCACCGACCCTCAAGCGATGGTACGACGGTTTTCTGTCAATTGATCTGCTTTGGCAGCACAGGTCTCACTAGTATGTGCACCAATAGCAACAACCTTCTCTAATGGTGTCTTTAAACCTTGCGCAGTGTTCGCCTGTTTTGGCTTCCTGTCGCCGGCAAACCGTGGAGCCCTGATGACATGTGCTATGGTGAGTATTTTTCCTTCCATGGTGACAATGAAAAGCACCAATGAATTGACGAGCTGTATTGAAAGCTTCACTTGTCCTCTATCGGAGAAACTACACTGAGAAAGCATAATTGTCAAGTAAAAATTGACGCAAATAAAAACAGTGGCATAAGAACACCTCAAACTTCCCGCGTCCACTGGTAATGGCGTCAAATTTTTAGGCGGTATCTTTTCACAGAAAGAGATGAAACGCAATATGTTTGCAATGAAGCTGACCATCAAACTTTGGGTGCACGTTAAAGAACCCCAGGTGGTCTAAATTTCCGGAGCCCTCCACTACGGCGTTTCTCATAATCATATAGTGGTTTTGGGACGTTAAACCCTACAAATCAATCAATCAACCATCAAACTTTCAGAAGTTACTGCACCGGAGCAGCCTAAATGAAATCTGGCTATGACGTCATATTGACGTACCAGCCAGAGTAGTGGAATTGAAAAGCAGGGTGAAAAGGTATAGCTTGATTATCATGTTTTTTTATTCAATAAAGCAGCCCGTTTCAACAAAACGAAGTTTTCGAAAGCATTATTTTGTTTCAATTTAGCGTTCAGCAGTAACGCCGGAAAATGTAGGGCAAAACGAACCAGCGTGCAGGGTTTACACTCGCTAGATTTTTTTCAACCACATTATGCCGAAGGCGAGTAGCTTACCTATCGCAGCGTCTCATGGTAAAGAAACCACGCTTGTTTAAACTGCCCAGGATAGCAACGATGGTTCGTACATGAACCAGTTCTGTCGCACATGAACCACACATGAAGCTTCGTTCTGTCGGCTCCGTTCGACTCTGCGTGAACTGCAGCCGCTTTATAGCAAGACGAAGTTCAGCAAGTGTTCAGCAGTTCCGTTTCACTACCTTGACTTTCTCAGACTCACCACTTGAAACCGGCTCTTGTTGTTCGGAACGATCCATCCTTGATCCGCAACAAATGCCAAAACACAGCAATGAACAAAGCCAAAAGTGCTTTCGAAACCGCGACACGACGCAAACATATGTGCTACCCATCGTTTTAATGGTGGCTGAGTGATCGCAACACCAGAGTTTTCTCGAGTAAATATTGTAAGAAGCCTTATGGTATGACGTCATACGATCGCCTTGAAGTGTCACGTCACGTATGACGAGATACGTGACGTTTATGCTCGAGTTACGTCACACTCCCGCATGCGCCGGGGACCCGGGAGCTCCCCTACCAGGGCTTGAAAAACAAGCTTAGTCGCAGCGTTGAGCCGTAAAGCGATCCGGTCTCCTGTTACCGCTAGTTCACTCTATGTTATGGTGCTTTCGTCGTCGCTTGTAATGATTCGTTCGGAGGCAGCTTTGAACGCTCTGTCTTCAAGCATATAAGCGCATCGTTTTGATGCGTACGCATTGCTCCGTTCCTCGCAGGTGCTGTTCGTGTGCCTCGGTACTCCGGCGGGATACGTATCGGCGGTTTTGTACAAAAGTGAGCACAAGTTTGATATACGCGGCAAGAACGTTTTATAGACCTTTTTGCTGTTTACGAACAGAGGTGCTGGACGGCTTCCGATTTTGTGCACAAGCGATTCTAGGAGCATTGGCATAGAACGAGTGCTTTAGCGAGTAGCAGCCCACTGATTTTCAACACTTTTTTTCCATTTGTCTGCCCAAATTGCTTAAATACATTTTCTTCTAAGCTACAAGCAACAATATAAGAGCTAGTCGTTAACTTTAAGCGCCTTCATTTTACCAGAAAGCGGAAAAAGAATTTTTTTTTACTCTGGCACAACTAAAAAAAACAAGTTTTCTGCTTCAGTGTTTGAGAGTGATAATTGAAGTAACCGGAAGTTTCTTGGGAAGCAACACGTGCTTCTGCTACTGCTATGATGACACTAACCGAAAAGGTCTATAGAAAATTGTTCCATGCAGATTCGCGCTCATCATTACTGCTTTTGTCTGGCACAGCTTTCGGCCAGTTCAGATGGAGGCTGAACATGCTAATGACGGCGCTCGTGTGTCCCGGCGTCGTGTTCAGCGTCTTCTTCGTGCTGAACCTGCTGCTTTGGTCGAAGGAGAGCTCAGCTGCCATCCCGTTCACCACCCTGATTGCGTTGCTCGCGCTCTGGTTTGGCATCTCGCTGCCCCTGTGCTTTGTAGGTGGCTACTTTGGCTTCAAGCGAAAGGTAAACATTGGTCAAATGGCAGAACTTCATTTGGATAATTTTATGGAAGTTGTATTGAGAACGTTGGCGAAAAAGACAAAAGTGCCCGAGAAAGCGCCAGCTAGCAACCAGATGTTACTTGCTCTATAAGGCGCAACGCTCATTGTGAAAAACAAAAGAAGGCAATAATGACTGAATACAAAAAAGCATTGTAAAAACAGAAAGATATAGAGATACATGCACTAACACATAACTTGATAATGAGAAAAATGGCCGCATGGACGATATGACCTTGCTGTGAGATGGTTAGTGCTCGAGTTATTCAGGAACCTGAGGATAGCTCGGATACGTAACTTGTTTTCAGTTTCGTATCCGTTTTAGCAACTTGTACGTTTACAAACTGTCGAAGGCCCTATTTTGCTTGGTCATCACGCCTCAAAGGTACTGTCGCTTTGAAGCAAAGACGTCTGCCTAGAAATATGAGCGTACTAAGATCGAAAAGGTAATCAGACGATTGCGCGAATTATTCGCGACTCCAACTGAGCGCTCGCCACTTAGCGGCCGTGCCTGGAAACGGCGCTAACAAGGCCAACCTTCAAAGGAGACATGTTACTGTGTTGAGCGCGTTGAGAAGTGATCGTGTATTACTTTGTCTTCTCCATTCCGTACGCCCGAGCCCGAAAAAGAAGAAAGTATGTCCAGAGACCATTCCAGTGTGCCTCAATGCATGGTATGGCGGTGGAAAGATGGCAACGTATCGTTTTATTACTTGCCGTTGGATGCGGATGACACGCGACGGCGAAGGGCACAAATCAGAAACTTTAGCATTTGAAAAAAAGCGACGGAGGCTACGGTAGTTTGTTATAATCAATTCGCTCGTGACGACTTAATTATACTCAGTGAGTGCACTATCATTGAGCTGGTGTACATTTTTATCGATCATTCGGGCTTATCGTAGTATAGTATCATTTATATAACGAAGCGCTTAAGGAAATTTGTTACGTTACGAGTGGGGCTGCATTTTTCGCATATGCTTGTTTTCGGTGCAAGTAAGTCGAAGTGCTACCAGCTCTCAAATTAAGCTGCTGTAGAGCTTTTCCCGAACATTTCTCATTTCGCATGCACACGAAAGCGCGCGGGATGCATAGTCGCGCGTTTGTAGCTCGCTCGAATGTATGCTCGTGCGTATATACATCATGTCTGTGCATTCGTAGTGTGCGTAGTGGGCTTGCATAAATCTGCTTTGAATATCAACTACTGCCAACAGGAACAAGCAAGTGATCCTATAAGCAAGTGATCTAGAAACATGATCCTATTTTCATTAGAAACCTAAGAACATGCATTGATCGGCGAACGGAAACAAAGGAGCATTTATAATACAATCTAAACTGCCGATTCTGAGATATGTTGGCCCAGACGTAGCTCAGTTCTGTATTGAAGTAAAGGAATCACTGAAACTGACAAGGCCTTGCCTGTAGCAGTGTAGCAACGCAGCGCGAAAGTGCTGTCGGAGAGTCCCGCTATACACATTAGCAGTTGCCTTATTCAGCCTCGGGCTCGATAGAAAGGTTCTTCAATTTGAAGTAAATCTGATGCGGTTCGCCGAAGAGGCTCGACGTCTTGACGTGCAGCGCAACTATTTCCGATGTTCCGCCAGCGAAATACTTTATGCCGATGAAACACTTTATGCCGTGGCCAACACCGTTTCGCCTTCGACGAAGCAACGTGGTCCGACGCCAGTTAAGCGCAGCCATCTCTGTTTTTTCGACCAGTGTTGCTAGAAGACTGAGCGTTTTATGGAGTTGCGAATACACAGCAACGCGGCTTATTGCTTTCCGTCTTTTTTTGTCTTTCCTGAAATGATAAATATAATTAATTAATTTCAGTATTTCATTCATTTGGCCTTCTTGGTGTACTCCTGCTTGATTGACCCTCACAGGCGATCGAGTATCCAGTGAGGACAAACCAGATACCAAGGCAAATCCCGGCTTACACCATGTACACAGACCCCTTCCCGGCAATTTGCATGGGCGGCGTGCTGCCCTTCGGATGCATCTTCATACAGCTGTTCTTCATCCTCAACTCCATCTGGTAAGAACCTTAACGCGTGCGATTCTCCATGATGTGGACACAACTCCGCCATATTTTGGCCGTGCAAGGTATTTCGTTTTTTTGCTGTGCAAGGATGCATTTTGTCACACATGAGAACTTAGGTTTTTAAGGGAGCTTATAGTACAACAAAATATATTGATGACGAACTGAATATTAGTGAGTAGCATATGCCAACTAAACAATCTTCTCAAAGCTGCAAAGATGGCATTTGTATAATCTTATATTAGCGGCATTTAGATACCTACCGAGCAGACGACAGTACTGATCTGCTCGTAAGAGGCCATGACACAGATCCGGGGATGTGGCCTTTGGAATTTAAAACTATGTTACAGGTGGCCACGGATGTAAGGATCTATAACAAAAGAAATTACTTGTGAAACCTACAAGACTGCTTTTCATAAAAAATTGTAGGTTCAGTCATCGTGACAACTGTGTCCAGTGCACGTGTACTTGGCAGTAGGATTCGTCTTTTGTCTAAGTTTGGATGGCTTTGCGAAGTTTCAGATATTAGCCTCTAGTTGAACTTCGAATGGAGCGCTGACGTACAATGACTAGTACTTCCATTGGTTCACTGCAGTCATAGGAGCTGCAGGATATCTCAGTGACTGAGATAGCTGTGGTGAACGAGTTCTTTCAGGCCAAAAGTTGGGAGTAGGGATGCCCCTGAAAAAACTAGCTGAGAGTCAGCTTTGCAGCAGTACAGGATACTATATAGGGGATGGTACTGAAACAGCTACACCCCCCCCCCCCCCACTGTCTACCCTGCCACTCGGGCACCGTACCTGCAGTTGATTTAGGGCCACATGTGATACCGATGAAATATCTTAACCCCTAATCTGTGTCGTGCTTTTCTAGGTCCAACCAGATGTACTACATGTTCGGGCTTCTCTTCCTGGTCTTTATCATCCTCATCATCACATGTTCCGAGACCACGGTGTTGCTCTGCTACTTCCACCTCTGCAGTGAGGTAACAGGGGGGGGGGGGCAGTTTTGAAAGATAACGTCATCTTCTGGTCATTGTTGCATAAATGCTAACGTGAGAGGGCCCTGCATAAAGAGGTAATTTCTCTGCTGCTTGTCCAGCACTATTCAAACGTTTAGGTTGAGAAGAGATGGGAAAGATGATTAACAGATAGTACTTTTCCAATGCGTCCTTCATAGACATCATTTTATTCAACAAAAATGATGGCAAATCAGACAAAATGATAGTGGAACAAAACATAGAAAGCTTCAAAGCAGGGTTGACGATAAATACGGAGAAACGAAGACAATGCTAGGTGTCCTCGTGAAAGTACTAGAATAAGTGACATATTGCCGAGAATAAGTGATATTTAACACTCAATTCAGTAAAACAGTACCTTTAACAATGCCATACAGAAAAGGAGCATACAAGAAGAATAAAGATGGGTTCATATGGCATGCATGCACACCTAACCTCTAAACGGAAGCTTACCACTACACCACTAAAGCAGAAAGTGTGAAACCTTTGTATTTTCAGTACTGGCCCATTGGGTAGAAATCTAAGAATAAAGAGAAAACATGTAGAGGAGATAATGACCACACATGGTCTCAATGAAATGAAAAATGACAGGCCTAACACTATGAGACGGGAAGGCAGCAGAATGAATCATAGGACAAACAATAGTAGCCAATATGCTGTAACAGATATTGAAGAAGACAAACGAACTTGGGCAGGTCATGTCGTGAGGACATGTAACAGATGGTAAAATAGAACGTCGGAACCTAAATATAAGAAGCGCATCCAAAAGGCGAGAAAGTGTTAGCTGGAGCGACAAAACAGAAATTCGGAGGCATAAAATGGAATCATTTAGCAGAAGACATGATGGGTTCGAGATCAGGGCGTGGCCAAGGAAGGAGGGAGTTGGGGGTAAAAGTTTTTTCGAAATTTATCGATTTCGCTTGCTTATATATACACACATACAAACGCACGCACGAAAATACATAAAGTATACTTGAGCCTCCGCCCACCCCCTTCCTCTGAAAAAGATTTCTTGCTTTGTTGGAGATCGTTGGGAGAGGCCTTTCGGCGGCAGGCCTAAGACAGGCTGATTATAATGAGGCTGCCAGGCCCAGTGACCTGCCAACCACGAACGGTCTCCTAAACACGTGGGACTGATCGTGTACTATAACATCTTTCCCGCGTGGTTCACGTTCTGTGTGCGCAGGACTACCACTGGTGGTGGCGCTCCTTCCTGACGAGCGGCAGCTCGGCGCTGTATTTGTTCTTATACTGCATCCACTACTTCATGCGCCTGAGCATCTCGGGCGCCACGTCCACTTTCCTCTACTTCGGATACACCTTCATCATCGTATTCCTCTTCTTCCTGCTCACCGGTGAGTCCACTAACATTTTAAAGGCCTTCCGTTTCTCGATCCGCTTAGTGTAAACTTAGCGGTTTTAAGATCCGGATATCTATTCCAATGTGTGCAACTGATGCATGGTAGGCGGCGAAGATGCATAAGTGATTTCTCACACCCTTTCAAGTCTCCCGACGTTTTGCGGAGGCCCGAGAGGGCGAAGACATTAGGAGCGGGAAGAGGGGTAGCTTGAGCGTAGTGTCGTCTAACGTTTCCACTTAAAGAAGGCTTGTCCCGTACTTCCTATGAGTGTCGTTTCTTAAGAGTTGGACGTCAATTTTCGAGAAAATATTGATCTTCGAAATGTCCGAAATCTGGATGCCGATTCTGAAAAATAGAGTTTTTCTTCGATGGTTACGTTTTGAAAGGGGTCATGAACTTTTCCCAAGAAATCCTCAAGTGAGTACGGTATAGGGGGTCTATTGCCTCACAAACCAATTGCAGCAATTTTTTTTTCGAATCCATCATGAACGAGCTAGGAGAAACGAATTTATGTCAGCGCACGTCATGAATTCGAGCGTGCGTAATGTAACGCGATCAGCCTTTCCCGTTGCCATATTTGAGCGCGAGGGTGGCTCACTGTGCAAGGTTAGCAGAATATGGAGTGCTGCACCGGTGCACTATAACACATCGCGGCCCGAAGCGCATCTGATCCAAATGCCTCGCTTGATTTAGGCCAGCTATGGGACGACACTATGTTGCCCGCTGTGCAGCGCGACACAGCGGACGGTTGCGGCTCCGAAGAGGGGGAGCATAGGTCCCTGTATGGAAACAGGGCACTTGATAAAATCGCTGATTAGCAATGTGCTCGTATGCCCCCCGTTGCCGTGCATGACTGAGAAGATATAGCTTGGATGCTCGTAGTAGTGTTCGATGCACGGATGACGCATTTTCATGCCACGGGCCTAGAGTGGTTCATCGTCACCGAATGGTGTGCTCCACGAAAATAAAAAGGAAAACCTGATAGCAGCAATGTCTGCGTTATGCATGGACATGCTTACTAAGCAAATAAACAATGTGGGATAAAGACAGTCGTGTGCGTGCCGGGCCGCTAGCGAAAGGTCTGAGTTCCAGCGTGTTTGAGACCCCTGTCTTAGAAGCATTAAAAATAAGTGCAGGACGCCAGATCTTCGCCTTCAGGAGTAGATCACAAGCGTGATGTTTTCCATTCATTCTAATTCGCTTCAATTTGATCTGTTGGTTTGAAACTTCATTTAACTCAACTCTAGAGTTATGATATCTCATTCGCATAGTCTTATTTTGAAAAGCAATTGATAATGTTGATGTCACTACCAATCTTTAGGTGAAGCTTGATTTGCGATATATATGAATACATTCCCTTTTCCTTGCAGGAACTGTGGGATTCATTTCTTGCTTCATGTTCGTCCACAAGATCTACGGTGTCGTCAAGGTCGACTAAGGCTCATTGCACTCAAGCCCCGCCCGCTGCCTCATCACTCGCTCGGCATCCGGTCTGCTTGCGTTCATCTCTTCACGGATGCGTGTGATGTGAATGTGAGCCGTTTTCAATGGGAACCGTCGCCAGAGAAAACAAACTTTGGCCTTTGTGAGCAGTCTTTGGGGAAAGGGAAAGTGCGTCTTGTTCTTTGTATTTTCATGTTGTCCTGCATTAACTGACTGACTTGCTGTGTGTGGACAATGACAGTTTTTTCTTGTTGTTTAAAAGTAAACGCAGGGCGTCAGTGTAGTTTGTCTTGTCATGGAACTTTTTATTCGCCGTAGCAGTAATAATCCTTGTTGAGATAAATTTATTATAAAAGTAAGAGAAACACCTATTTACTTAGTGACATAATTAAGTGTACAGACACAAATGCACAAGCAGAAGGGGGGCATAGAAGAACAAAGCACAAGAAGATTTAGGAATACGATAAAGCAGGAAAATGCAACGAAGCATAGTCAGTAATAGCGGGTGAAATACATTTTTGAGAAGTAGGAATAGTTTAACGGTTATACCTGGGAAAGCACGGCCTGAAAAATCGAAACTTAGTAGGGTGCGTTTGGCTAGTGGCCACGGCATTCCAGATCAGACCACGAGGTCATAAATTCTACTGACGCAGTAAGGAGGGGGGGGGGAGGGGTTCTGTTTTGAAGCAGAAATAGAACCACTGCTTTGTCATTGGATATTAGTGTCAAAAAACAAGTGTCAAGCCACGCTTATTGGCAGGAGGACATAACAAGGGTTGTTAAGAAGAGCCCTTGTACAGCTTTAAAGTAGCACGGCTCAGCCATACAGATAGGTGTATAAATCACTAGAAAAGGTGATGGAAAGTCAAGCAACATGCACAGCGCGCATCCGCGTGTATGCGGTTTTCATGCACTAAGCCACGAAGGCCTTTTCAGCCACGACGGCGGCTTGTCTATGGCATACTCTCGTATACGCCTCTTCTTCGTTCTAGGTTCGCGCCACATAGTCGTCGGAAGCGGGGCTACATAATCGCCATCATTGTCGTCAGAGAGAGATTGGTGCTTTATTGAAAATCTAGCTTTATGGCACCTAATTTATATTGTACTATTTGCATGATCTTTGCTTCCTCTCTCTGCTTCTTGAGAAGAGAGATTGATTAAAGCCGGCTTTGTGACAGCACGGTAGCAATTATTGCCTCTTGACTTGCCATTGAGCACTCAGTGCGACGTTTTCAAACAAGGGCTTCTCGTGTGCTAAGTGTAGTAGGCTGTAGCTAAGAACGACTGTGCCATTTTTTTGCATGGCTTGATGGCTACCTCATGAACTCGCGGTGAACGCCTAGTGGTGAGACGATGGTGTGCTGGTGTAGAAGATAAGTCCGTTGACAACGTCTCTGAGGCTGCACGTGCTACAAGAGCGCGCAAACCATTGCCGTGCAAGCTCATCAAGTTATGCTGTTCCTTTACAGTGATGCAATGTTGGGCTAGGGAAAGACAAAATAAACGCCAGTTTGCAAGTTTCGTTTGTAAATTGGCCGAGGAAGGTGCGACTCTCTAAACTGGATATTTGAAGAATACGGCGTGACGACAACAACAAACAGCGGAAGAGTACACACACGCGTCGCAACTTACACTTCTAGTATGTGAAACCAATACACCCAGTCTGTAATGCCAATGAACTTAGCAAGCCAACTAGCGATTCTCGACCAGGCCCAGCCAGCCACACTTGCCAACGGGGCCCTGGACAAGAGGCTCCACCCACAGCAATCTGCGAACTCGCTGTTTATTACTGTGTTCCTCGTATATGCGTTGAAAAATGCCTAGCGCATACATGTGAAAGGCAAATTGGGCAAACGCCATGGCTCACTGATGGCCACTACAAATGAGTCGCCATTCGTTGAGAAAAACATCACACAAAATGGGCAAGTCCCCATGCTTGTTCTCCGAGTATAAAGAAGGGAGCGCACGGTTGTTAAAAACTAATTAAGGTTTCCGGACTGACGTAACCAGCAAAGTCTTCAATAAACCATTATGATTATCCCAGTGATCGGTACCAGCTTGGTATACACATCCTGCATACGTGTATTATATGAGGCCTTTGTAATGTGTGAACTGAAGCAGCGGAGGCAAGTATGTAGTAAGAGACGGGATCATACTTATTGGAAGTCTAGGCATGCCCACATTAAATGGTGTGCAACTGCCTTCATGACTAGAATGGTTTGATTGATTGATATGTGTGGTTTAACGTCCCAAAACCACCATCTGGTTTATGAGAGACGCCGTAGTGTAGGGCTCCGGAAATTGCGATCACCTGGGGTTCTTTAACGTGCACCCAAATCTGAGCACACGGGCCTACAGCATTGCCGCCTCCATCGTAGATGCAGCCACTTCTGCCGGGATTGGACACCACGATCTGCGGGTCAGCAGCTGAGTACCTTAGCCACTAGACCACCACGGCGGGGCCACTAGAACGGAACATTACAGGCTGGTAGCAGCTGTGATATATGGGACAAGTTCTTTGAGATGGGAGACGACGAAGCATTGACTCGAGACCACGAAGCAAAATTTTCTTCGTAGAGTAGCGTGTATCGTCAAGACTACCTACAAGGGCGATCCTGAAAGAGGACCGTTTGCTAGCATTTGTATATTCACATGCCAAAATAAATATTCGCTTGTGCTGCGCCTTCTGTTTATTCTTCACGAATGTGCTGAAATCATTGTTCTAGCGCACTAGTCATTTACATGACGGGGAATGGAGGCTACAATGTCCGCGAGAATCGTCGCCAAGGTACAGTTTGATTTTTCAATGCAAGGTGGTGATCAGCTTCTGATGTTCATGTGGTGGTGTGTTTAGTTTATGGACCTACAGTAGGTAATGAGTGAAGCAAATGTCGCAAAATGGTGTTCAGGCTTGGAAAATGACTACCCATTGTGCAAGACAAAAATTGGAGCGGCACGCCCAGTGTCACAGTCAATGAAATTGGTCAACAAGGGAACCAGGAACTGCGATTACATCGATGACTCACATTTAGGAATCTGCTCGATCGATTTTGTTGACCGCACTACAATTTCAATGATTGCAACCGAAAAGCTCGGTTTTCAGAAAGATATGTTCAAAGTGGATACCGAAAAATGCTTACAGGTTAACTCAATGAGCAAAACATTTCCCTGCGGCCAAAATATTTGCAGAAAGTTTAAAGAAACTGGCGCATGGTACAAAATTTGTTCACAAACTCAGTGATTGTGTAGGTAAGTGAAGTAGGCTTGTATTAGACTTAAATCACCAATGAGAACATTTAGTAACGAACATTTACTTGATTTAGGTGGGCGAAATGGCCCTCACTTTGAGAAACCATCATGCATGTGTATATAGATTGGGCCGAAATGGATTGCGAAACGACATTTCACGACCAGCCACGTAATTCTGTACGTGTACCATGTGGCACCGCGTGTAATTTATTATCCTGAAAATGTGATTTCTAGTGGATGTTTATCTGCTCTATTTCAAACCGACACATCCAACAAGAGACGCAGAATTCGCCACATTACATTTCGTGAACTGGAGTTGACTAGTGCGCATTCAGTTGATGATTGATTTGTGGGGTTTAACGTCCCAAAACCACCATATGATTATGAGAGACGCCGTAGTGGAGGGCTCCGGAAATTTAGACCACCTCAGGTTCTTTAACGTGCACCCAAATCTGAGTACACGGGCCTACAAGATTTCCGCCTCCATCGGAAATGCAGCCGCCACAGCCGGGGCGCATTCAGTTATGTCTCAGAGCAGGGACGTTCTGTTCTCCGCGCTCGCTGAAATGCGGCGAGTAACAACTGAAGTTTTCTTTTGGCCAACATTCCGGGTGACAGTAACTCAAACAGCGACCTCAAGTTTGGCGGCAAACTAGGTCTGAGATGCACAAGGGGGAAATTCAAGCAAGGATTCCGACACCAGCAGCCACTGCACCAGTCTTCATAGTCTAACGTGATTTGTACATATGATCTGAAAATATGGCTAGTTGGTTAAAGAAACTGTAGGAAAATAACCATAAAAATAAGAGAAAGTAAATAGTGTCACACGCAGCTAACTTTATTCTTGAAAGATCATCACTATATAAATATATCGACGACACGTGCGCAAACATACTACGCGTCACATGACAACTTGCGTGCCTCAGTGCACGTGCTAGTTGAAAAAGAAATCTTTCACAAAATTCAAATTCATTTGACAGCAGCACAACCGACGTATCGCTAATGAAGCTATTTTTTTTCTTATATGTGATATGCTTCCAGCCTTTGTCGTTCAAGCACCGAAGTGGAGACACGTTCTTTTTCTTAGCGAAACCAATGGCATTGTGAATTTTGCGATTTCTCCCGAGTGCTGGGCATTGATGTTCTTCGTGTGACTTAAATTTTACGTGCCGCGTCTGTGGTCAGCAGCCTGCTGCTGCTGCACTTTCGCGCATCCGATGAATTTCTCTCCTGGCATTTTCTTTAAACCGTGGCGTATACGGCCCTTGTTTGTCAGATTAAGAAGTTCACTGAAGGATTTTGGGCGCATATCATTGGCTGCGCGGTACCAACAATAGATTATGAAACCACAGCGTCATAGCACAGCCACAGACCAAAAGAAACTAAAGGCAGAGAACGGCGGCTCATGGCCGAGTTTTGATTATATTTCCATTGCATGGTTTCTCTCCCATGTGCAGTTAACGATTCAACGCAAGCTAGCGCTTCACTGGGTCACCCTGACGGCTATGAGAATCGCTATGGGTGAATTCGATGCCAGCTGCGATGACTGTTCCTGCCATTTACGCGTTCTCCCTACGTCATGTGCTGTCTGCATCAGCCACGTGTCAAACTGTGTGGCCAAAAAACACGAGCCCTATTCCGAAACGTTCTATAGTTCAGACTTGGTCACTTGGCGTGTTTCCATTCCATACTTGACCAGACGAACTTGCACCCGTGGGTTTGTACACCGAGGTGGGCGTGTAAAGTGTGTGCGGCACATTCACAAAATCAAGGGTGCTTCCACTCCGTGGACAAAAGATGCAGGGCTGAAAGTGGTGTCAAGTCACACGAAGTGTCACAGCGGGGTAATTTCAAACCGGCACGCATGGTCTGCCACATGACCTAAAACGGCAAGACTACTCCGCAGACGTCTGCATCTGTTCTAAAAGTTGTCTTCGTTTATCAATAATAGATTTGTGAAAATCGCCCATTTGACTCAGCACTAAATAAAGCCCAACAATTAACGCTTCGACTGCTGCAAACGCACAGTTACCCCAGCCCCTATATCTGCAGCAAATACCTACCAGATATAAGGCCAGAATGCCCTAAATGCCAAAATTCAAGGTGCGATTTAAGTCACATGCTGTGGCAGTGTCCCGTGCTAAACGCTAGCTTCGGGTCCCCTGCCACCGAGGACGACTGGTTCAACCACCTCAGGAGCCCCGACAGGGCCCTTCAACACCAGGCCGTCCAGAAGGCCCAAAAGGTGGCTGGCGAGCTCCGACTCCCAGTCCCCACATGGGCGGAGCCACCGGGCTGGCCCCCGTAAGGGGTGCCCAGGCCCCTTCAGGACCTTTATTAAAGTTAATTCTCTCTCTCTCTGAAGGGTCCTTGTATGATCCGATGGAGGCGAAATACGGTGCTCTGCCATATCAGTACACGTTAACGAACACCAGATAGACGAAATTTCCGGAGCCCTGTAATACAGCGTCCACGACAATCATATCGCAGTTTTCGGAACGAACAATACCGAAGGTATCATTTAAACCGAAGAAAATTGCCCTTTTTTTTACTGCATGCTGCTAGTGCCTTGCGATATTGCCACTCTAATGTGAAGTGTGCGCGATTATGCTTTCTCAACACTTTCACCGATAATTGCCACGGGTACAACAGTTCGGAGCGTCGTCATAGCTAAAAGGAGGACCAATTGCTCTCCCTCCCGATAACTTTCCTCTTTGAAGTGAGCTTCGTACGATGACAGCCTGTATATAGGGGTTATTGTTCACTGTGCAGGTACTGTAATAGATATTACGAAGCTAGGGTCCACAGAATAATAACTCAAATTTTACGTTGCAAAATCAACATACGGTTATGAGTGACGCCACTGTAGAGGGTACCGAAAATTTCGACCATGTGGTGTTCTCTATCTGCATTGACATCGCACAGCACACGGGGCCGTAAAACTTCACCTCCATCGAAATTAGACCAACGCACCAACAATTGAACCCACAACCTTAAGCACCAAAGCATCGTAGCCAATAGACCACCGAGTCAGAGAAGCCGCGTAGATTTCTTGCTTCAATCGCTGCGTAGTTTATATGAAAAATGTTACTCGGTGATTACTGCTTCTATGATAGCAAGCAGCGTGAAAAGAAATACAAACACATCATCTTTTCTGCGCTGCTTGGTACTATGGATGTATAACAACTGGTCCAGCTATCTACACCTTTGAGATTGATGCTGTCCGATATGATCCACTCACCACTCAGTATAAAGGTATGCCTACTGCGTACGCTGTTGTGAGCACGAGTAGTCGAACCCACTGGCAAGTTGGTTGATGCGTCTGGACCACTCAAGCCCCAAGTGGTATTAAGAGAAGCCGTAGAGTTGCCAACTATGTTTGAAGACTTAAGACTAAAAAAAACAAGTCGTTAGACAGTGGCATAAACAGCCTTGTTTGAGCATTTCTGTTATATGTACACGGGCATAGCGGGAACTGACGAGACACGCAATGGAACTTCAGCGCAGCAGATGCGTTGTCGTAAACCGAGTCATGGTCTACCGAGAATCCTCGTCACGGCGTCTTCAGGCTTCTCCTCTTCTTGAGTGACGCTCTCGGTGGTAGGGGTCGTTGAAGATCCTTCCGGCTCGGGCGTGGTCACCGTGGTGGTGATGGCATCGGAGTCGCGCTTCCAGTAGGGACCACCTCTGTAAAACCACCACCAACCGAAGGTAGGAAGACGGAGCCAGCATGCATAAAAAAAGTTGCGCCAGGGGATGGCGGCTGTTACTTGACAGTAAGAGGATAAGGACATGCGTCAGAAGTATGTGCAAGCAAATCCGCTTTAGCGCCAGTTTTCCCGAGGGGACCAGGATATGCATAAACCGTGCAGTGGCAACCAATCACATGCCAGAAATGACGCGTGATGCTAAACGAAGCCCATGCTGAACGAGATGTAGGCAGAGCACGTGTAGGCATGCAGCGTAGACACGAGAATACTTGCAAGTATGTAGCACATAACAGGCATTAAAAAAATGTTGGCCTTACATGTGCATCTCTGAGGTAATATAGTGGCGCGTGCACGAGAAAAATCACACTAGACTACATGCTCCCTACACTCAAGCAAGCGAGTGAGCATGCCCAAATTAAAACGAGTGTGTCAAGTAGGGCACAGCCGTGCAGGCAGGAAGTAAAACATTACAGGTAATCGAAGGGGCAAGTTCCCAGGTACTCGTCGCAGCACACACCGTTGACGCACTGGCCGGAGCAGCAATCCAGGGGTCCAAAACACTGCGAAAAAAAAGAGCGCCAGCCGTCAGTCATGGACTGACATGGGAAAGAAGGTTTCCTATTGGCCGCGAGAACGAGCAGAATCACCGCCTGGCGGCAACTGGCCGAAGAGGCGAAGTGTAGATTGCTCCATGCGTCATCGGCTAGCCGCGTCGTGTGTCTACGTGCGCGCACGTCATGCACGTTCTCAAAGTGTAGTTTGTGCGATCATGTCAGCGGGAGTGTAACTTTGCGTATGCCTAAAACGATGTACGAAAGCACGTGGTCTTGCTCGGCTGCTAATGCATTGTAATAGGATCGGCGAGTGCAACTTTCCAGAATGACGTTTATTGGCGCCATACTCTTCATCCACCAGAATAATTTCAGAGTTGGTGCTGATTGCCGTTGCAAGCACACCGCAAAATGCCGTTGGCATCCGCGCAAGTATGATGACTAGGAAATGTTTTACAGCAACTGACACGCGCACACGCACACGCACACGCACGCGCGCGCACGCGCACGCACGCACGCACGCGCACGCGCACGCACGCGCACGCACGCGCACGCGCACGCACGCGCACGCGCACGCACGCGCACGCGCACGCACGCGCACGCGCACGCACGCACGCGCACGCGCGCGCACGCACGCGCACGCACGCGCACGCACGCGCACGCGCGCGCACGCACGCGCACGCACACGCACACGCAGCACGCACGCGCACGCACGCGCACCACGCACCGCACGCGCGCGCGCACGCGCGCACGCACGCGCGCACGCACGCGCACGCGCACGCACGCGCACGCGCACGCACGCGCACGCGCGCACGCGCACGCACGCGCACGCGCGCACGCACGCGCACGCACGCGCACGCGCACACGCACGCGCACGCACGCGCACGCGCGCACGCACGCACACGCACACGCGCACGCACGCACACGCACACGCACACGCACACGCACACGCACACGCACACGCACACGCACTGTTGGTAGGGGTACAATAACGGCAGTGTAGTCTATCGATCATGCGAGATCACCTTAGTTGTGTTTATCAGGCCGTGGGGACACTACATAAAAATATTAATATACTATCACATCAACTGTGACACATCGGTACTTCAACTGTACTTAAAACAGAGTTATCGTGCGCAAGCGTGTGCTTGGGTGTAAGATTTCGAAGAGACCAGATGTTGAAAACTATTTCAGATGGCATGCCTTACATATAATGTCGTATAATTTCCCCTTTCATGTTTACACTGCCTTCAGCGTTTGGGTGGCATTGTCAGTGACCGGCGGAAGGCAGTGGTGATTTTGTCTGAAAAAAAAAAAACATGCCTGTCCCACTGACCAGGCGTTTGTTGTAGCACTGTCATGCGCGTAATCGATCAATGGAAGCTTTCTGCTGAACCCTTATATAAAATTGTTATATTTTTACTGGTGCAAGAACATGTGCGTACACGTGGTACACGCAGTGTAGCGCAAAGCACCGTTAGTCACTAAGCCTTCCTGACCGAACTTATCGACTGTCCCACTTTTCATTGTAAAGAGAATGAGAAAAAAAATGCGCATAAGGTGCGAACTGCGGTATTGAACTAATCGCACAGATATGCGGGCTTTGTACGATCTTTCTCTATTTTGTAGGATGCAGATGACAAAGTTGGAAATAAGTAGTTCAGTCACACTACAGCAGTGCGTAGCAGGCAGAGCACAAGCTAACCACATACTAACAACACATCAAACGCGTGATTTATTTAGAAAGCGTGAAGAGAGTCACGCAGGGCAAGCATCCATATGAAAGGCAGAATGCGCTTTGCTCGCGGGTAATGTTAACGTTGCATAGGCGACGTGCATCGATCCAGTAGAGAAGAACGTAGAGAACTAGTCAACGGATTTTACTGGCCGGCAATCAGCTCGGACCACGGCACGGTCCTTCCCAGTTCCAAACGTTCCTTCGTAGTTCCAAAGCATTTGTCTGCGGACTTGCCGGATATTTAGCTATCTCATATGAGTCATGTGGGGTTGTGCTTCGGCCTTGTAGAATGTAATAGTTGGAAAGCCTTTTTGTAATCATTGCAGCGCTGCCTATCTCCCCTAAGCTCTGATTAGCCAACCTAAAATCTTATCTGTTTTAGTCATGGCCGAGGCTGTGCAGTGGTTGCAGAAATAGCCGAGCAGACAAATTCGAGATTGGAGTGGCCTAAAGGTTTGGGGCACGCGCAGAAAGGAGTGAAAACATTTAAAAAAAGAAAGGTGCCGCTTTTTAGAGGCTTCATTGGGGGTGTAGTCCCTGTTCCGAGAAGTTGGTGACACTCGCTAGCCTAGCCCCCTGGACCAGGGCCCTTTGAGCTTGAAGGTTCAAGAAACCCAGCATGGTCGCCTCCCACTCCTCTCTGGTTGGGTGAGGGGTGGGGGGAAGAGCGGAGTTGAGCTGGCAAGCCCAAAAGATGTGGGGGGTGTCAGTCACCTACCCACAGTATTTGCATTTGCCAGTGAAGGAGGAATCGAACTGTTGCATGATTGCCGGGCACAATGAAGTATTAGTGAAAAGTCTCAGCAAGATGGGTTCATTAGACTTCCCAGCCCCTTTGCAGGAGGTGAGTAGTTACGATGCTGATCCCTGTAACGGGCCATAAGATCCGTCATAGTCACCAGAACTCCGCTTTCAGCTTGCAGGCACTGAGCAGGAACGAGTGCTCGGGCCACCGTGTTTGCGGCTTCAATCCCCATCAGGCCCTAGAGTCCAGACTAGGCAACGAGGGCTAGGGTTGACTCCCCGGTTGCTATAGTGCTGCAAAATTCTTTCCGCTAGTAGCGTGATGCAACCAGCTTTACAATGTCGACATGCCCCACGCGAATCATGATACATCAAGATCGATGGTCGGAGGCAGCTAGGGCAATAGCTATCTACTCCGCTAGTGTTCTGCCAGGAGCTTTGAAAGCGAGTCCATCTACCTGCTTCCTCGTAAATTTACCGCTGCCGTATACCACCCCCAGCCGCTTGGTATACGGTTACAGGGAAAGATACTGTGTAATTGGCGAACTGTACTTGTTGAAAACGCAAAACAGTGGTGAGACTCTAAGAATAGTAACCTGTGGGAAGTGCATTGCCTTTCACGCATAGTATGATATATTCAATTGTGCAGTTGCTCTACTGAAAAAAAAATTGGTGACTAGCGCAACTTACCAAGCCACCATGGGGCGAGCAGAACTGCCTGGCTGCACCTTCAGCTACAAGTGGAGCCGCCAGTAGCAGCACTGTTGTGAGGGCGACAGCGAGGATTAGCAGACGGCTGGCGCCAACTGTGCACTTCATGGCTCTGGAAAAAGCACAACATAAGACATGTTTTACGGTGGTCCAAGCACACATTTCTGCAAAGGACGTCTATGCCGCGACGCTTTGGCCGAGGACGTGCAAAAGGCAGTGTTACTGTGGAAATAGAAACTGCATAGTAGGTATTGAAGGAAAAATTGATTGCGACAGGAGTGTCGCTGAACCCGACATTTCGTTAAATGAATAGGTGCTTGATGGAGACCAACTTCACTTGAAAAAATGCCGACGCCAGGGACATTCACCGTAGCGTAGCTTCTGTGTCAAAATCAATGTTAATAATGAACCAACTCGCCCAACAAGTTACTCTGCTGAAGCACATTCCCTGTTCAAGAAAGCGCATTTGATTCCATATTTTCAAGCTCTATTACACCCCGGGCTTCGGTATGGTTTGATTTACAGAATTAAGCACCTCGAAACTAGTCAAACTGACCCACGCGTGACTGGCGGTCGAGTATTTTATATGGGGGCTATACTGCTGACCAGGAGGCCTCGAAAGGAAATTCCGCCGCATTTTAAATACGGTGAAGACGATCTGCTTAGAATATTGAAGGCATCTAGAATAGTTAGATATTGAAGGCGTTTATAATTATTGAAGGCACTTAACAGCTCGCACCCTACGTAAGCGTAATGGTGGAGCCAAGCGACATGTCCGCCATATTCGGACAAGTTCTTTGTAAAGTCAAATCAAAAAAAGCGAAGTTCTGTTGTGTGACAAGAAGCAAAATTAAATCTGTGCACGATGGTCTAGCTCACAAGGCATATGCTATAGACAAGACAACCACACGTGAAGTATAACCACCTTTGCTGCAGATGTCGTTAGCTAGAAATATAAATTTCCACGTCCTTGCAGTACGCACGCTGGAGTAGAAAAAAAGGAACAATGGAATTTTGCCGCCTACTACACGCCCCGCGGACAAATCGCGCACGCAGTACTCGTCAGTGGAGGGACCGTATAACAACTTGTGTATGCGGGAAGCTTGGAGTCTCCGTCTACACCTAGCTCAGGGTTTTGTTTTCTTCAACCGTTGAAACGCATATAGACAGGCGTTCTTGTGCCTTGCCGCCGAGGAAATGCCGTCACCATGGTGTAGAATAGAATTCCCGTCCTTGAGTCCAGCCACGGAACACCCCTTTTACTAATCTACCACGAAGATATACACATTTCTGCACCCAAACACTAATTCACGGGCTACATTTAAAGAAAACAGTCCACAGGGCGCATCGCTAGCCGACACGAAAGGCAATGCGGCAGACAACTGGAAGTCATAAGAACATCGGCACAGCACGGTACTTCGTATTTGCCTAGAAGCTAATTTCAGAAACGCAAATACCATACTGTGACATATATATTGGTCTAGGTTGAAAGCATTATTTTGACGGCACTGTCGAAACGGCGGAAGAAACAGAACCACTGCCGTGAACAGCCACGTGACTGCAGCTTCGTGAACTTACATTTTTGTGAATGGCAAAGTCGGTCGACGAAACGAAAATCGGGCGCCGATGCAGAAGCGTCCTTTCGACACGATGGCTACGAAGAAAGTGACCCGGCAGGGTTGTACGGTTCGTATTTATATGCGATAAGAGCGACATGGGGGGGGGGGGGGGCGCACCTTTTTCGGGGGGCACGCCTTTGGGGGCAACGCCGATCGCGGGGCATCGAGCTGATTCGCGTCATCCGTGGCAGGCATATTGATTAGCATTCTTCTACTTGTCATGGTGACCATCACTGATAGCGAGAACGTGCCTTCGGATCGCTCATAATATCGATGGGGAGGTCTATCTTCCAACGTGATAGCATGCTTGTCTTAACAAAACGGAAAGAATAGGCAGAATCTTTAGAACGAAACATGCCGATCTGTCATCACTATAGCTTCAAATGTGTCAGTTATTCTACCAACAATGTCATGAACTGGGAATGCATGCAGAGCCGGTCAAACTAACCGTGTCACGCTTTCAACATGGCAGCACACAAGATACGCCGCTAGTAGTAGTAGTAGTAGTAGTAGTAGTAGTAGTAGTAGTAGTAGTAGTAGTAGTAGTAGTAGTAGTAGTAGTAGTAGTAGTAGTAGTAGTAGGATTTTTATTTACAGTAAGCCGGATACAGAGCTCACTGCAGGGGCAAAGGGCTAAAGGCGAACAGCCTGACAAAGGCCCTTGTCCCTCCGCAGTCCGTGACAGTACAAAGCTTAGACATCAGCACTGACAAACAATATATATATTCAATACATTGGTTTCAAGCAACCTGAAATTGTAAACACAAAATTCAAATATAAATAGCATAAGAAGTTTACATAACACATTTTAAGAATTAGAGGTCACTCTCGTTATAATTCACAACTAAACAATATCAATGAAACAACATCGAAAACAGACACAAAATGCATGCGGATACAATGAATTCCGCTGTATACACTCGTATAATTGACATAGAAGTTTATGAACAATTTAAGCATTTGCAGAGGCATGAGACTCCATTACGTAGTTTCGATAGTGTAGACCAGTGGTTATGAATAAGTTCTTTATTTGTTTCTTGAAAGTCGCACTACTAGCCCTAAAGTTCAATTGATCTGCAAGGGTATTTAAAACCTGGGGTACCTGGTAAGCAATACTTTGTTTTCCATACTTGGTTCTTGTTCTAGGAGTTCGTTTCTTTTGTTCTCGCATACTGTAGTGTGGTCTTTCGGTGCAACTTTCTTCATATAGCTTAGTCTTTTGTATTAACTGAAGTAATTTAAAATGATATAATTGATCAATTCTGAGTATGGAATGTTTAATGAATAGTGGAGCAGTGCGCAAGTCTTGTAGATTCCCCCTGTAATTTTCAAAGCAGCGCAATATTTTCTTTTGTATAGTTATTAACTTATGGTAATTCCCTTGTGATGTCGTTCCCCAGACTAACATCCCATAACTTACTTTAGAATGGAAGAGTGCATAGTACATACTTATTTTTAACCTCAATGGGATTAAGTGCATTGTTCTGAAAAAACAACCAACTATTCGCGCTAATGCGGTGATCAGATGATTTACATGTGTATTCCAGTGTAATTCCTCCTGAAACCATACACCAAGAAACTTTTGTTCCCTAACATGTGCTATGCAATTTCCTTCGAATTTTACAGCTATGTTACTAATAGGTTTGTTTATAGGTCGGAATATCATATAGGTTGTTTTTTTTTTGCATTCAAGCGCAGTCCATTGTGCCTTAACCAATTTGAAAGATTGCTTAGATAATTATTTACACTGACCTCAAGTGATATTAGATTGTCTGATGTAAAGAAAACATTCGTATCGTCAGCGTACATTATAAGTTCAGGAGAATGAGGTATATCGACAATATCATTTATATAGACAAGGAACAATAATGGCCCCAGTATAGACCCTTGGGGGACTCCTTGGTTCAACTTATCTTTGCAGAAATAGTGTTATTCAGTTTTACATATTGATAACGATCTTCTAGGTAACTTTTAAACAGTTGTAGTGCAACTCCACGCACCCCATAACTTGATAATTTATGAATCAATGATTTGAATTGTATGGAGTCAAATGCCTTTTGAAGATCGAGGAAGAGCCGAAGAGTATATTTTTTGTTTTCCATATTTTCGATTATCTTATCTTTTATATACAGTAGAGCTTGTTCTGTTGATTTATTTTTTTGAAAACCATACTGACTTTTTGTTATTATTTGGTGCTTATCAAAAAAGGATGCAAGTCTATCATAAACAACCCCTTCAAATATTTTTGATATTGTTGGAAGCACAGATATAGGTCGATAGTTCGCTAAAGTATTGATATCACCACCTTTATGTACTGCAGTGACTTTCGCTACTTTTAGCTGCTCTGGAAATACACCGTTAGTGAGGGTGAGGTTGATAATATAGGCCAAGACATTAGATATCAATGGTGACACCATTTTTAACTCAACAGAACCTATCTCATCAATCCCTGATGCAACATTGTTTTTAAGTTTTCTAATTATTCTTTCTACTTCAACCGAATCTGTGCGTGCGAAAAAAATAGAATACGGCAAAGGAGATTTATCAGGAGTTGGAGCATTATCTCGCTTTTCATCCGTTAAAATAAAGGAAGCCGCATTTATGAAATGTTCATTCATGACATTGGCCAACCTTTCACCACTGAAAATCTGACCATTAATTGTTAGGTCCTATGTCCTATTACAACCCTTTTTTCTGTTCGTAAGCCCATTTATGACCTCCCATAGCTTCCTCTGGTCATTGTAAATCCTTTCAAATAATTTTTCATAGTAGTTCTGTTTAGCCTTCCGTATTTCTGAATTTAAAACGTTTCTTTATTTCTTGTACTCAGCTAAGGCGTCTGTGTTCCGCGAACGGATGAAATCATGATACAATTTATTCTTTATTTTTATGCGCCGGTAAAGATCACGATTTATCCAAGGCTTTCTGCATTTCTTATTTCTGCCATGTGAGCGCTTCTGAAGTGGAAATGCCGCATCATAGCTAGTGCTCAATAACGTCATGAATGTGTTATAAGCATCATCAGGATTTTCTTGTCTATAAACAGTGGTCCAATCTATGTTCTGAACTAGCTGAAAAAAATGTTCCCGAGTTTTGCTGTTTTTAATTCGGTGGAAAGATGTCTCTGTTTTCTGACCAATTTGAGAAGTAACTCGTGCAAGAAAGAAGATGGACGTATGATCACTTATGTCATACGCAAATACCTCGGATTTTATATTCTGTGAGCTTAAATTTGAGGCGCATATATCAAGGAGCGTAGCACTTGTTGATGTAATCCTAGTAGGTGAACGTATAAAATTTGTACTTCCATATGTAAGTAAGAGCGTTTAAAAATCTTTGGCATAAGGATCATTGGAACAGAGGTCAATGTTTATGTCACCCATAACTATGCAAGGAGTATTCCTGCGAACAGTGGATAACACAACATTAAGAAACTCAATAAATTTCTTTTTGTGGCCATGTAGTGGCCTATATACGCCAATTACTATGAATGGGCCAACACACATTGTAATGCATTCAACATCATCGTTCATAACAGTATACTTATCAAGCTTTTCACTGGAAAGCGTATCCTTAAAATAAATAGCAAGACCTCCACCTTTTTGCTGGTTACGACAGAGAAGTTCATGACTATAGCCTGGAAAGAACGGCGCATCTTCTTTATAAGTAATCCATGTCTCGGAGAAAACTAGCACATCAAATCCGATAGCTATAGACCACATAAAATTAGCAATGTCGTCGACCTTTCTTTTTATGCTTCTACAATTTATATGCAATGCTTTAAACAAGATTTTTCCGGATTGAAATGCCCTATTGAAGTCTTCAACACTGTAATACTTTTGGTTATTTACAAGATCAGTCATAGTGGAATGTTTTTCAATTTGTTATGACATATGTCACATCTAATTTCTAATTTTAGCCAGGCTTGTCTCATCCGCAATGTGTATTGCTCGTGATCCTTCATCTTTGCGTGCAAGGATTTTGCCACCGGATGTCCAGACAAATTTCCATGCGGCTTCTTTTTTTTTGTATTGCCGCTGCAAGCAATGCCTTGCTCTTCTGTGTCAAATGCTCATTTACAAAAATGGGCGTTTTTTTGTCATCCCCAAGCATAGAACTATCGAGCCTCTTCTTTCTACATTTCGCCAGTATGTCGTCACGTTTTGTTCTTTTTACAAAACGAACGATTATTTTCTTCACACCAGGCTTAGGAGTGGGAATCCAGTGGCATGCGTCAATATCAGACAGATCAACTGCCGTGCCGACAGCTTCGCTTATCTTTTTTACAACATCCACTGGATCATTCCCGACCAGCGAACCCTTTATCTCAAGATTGTTTAGGCGCTGATATTGTTCGAGCTCATCGCATTTTTGTGACAGTCTCTTATTTTCCACTTTCAATTCCCTGTTTTATCTTATGAGCTCTTGCATTTCAGCTCTCATATTCTTAATATCAGTGGCTACATCTTTCACCTCACTGCAGGTGTCAGAGCAAAAGGCTATGCAGTCTTTAATTTCCCGAATCTCACTTCTGAAATCGCGTTTGAAATTTTCAAATGCCTTCGACAGCTCTTTTAAATCCTTTACATGTGCTGCGTCCTTTTCCGCGTCTTTCCCCGCACTTTTTGCGGAATCCTTTCCCATAGCAAAGCAAGAACACTTCACTCAAAGCAAATACACTTCACGCTGTGTTCGGCAGCAGTGCACTTGCCGGCCGCGGTGGTGTCACTGTGCTGGGCGGCTGACCTGAAGAGCACGGATACCATTCTGGTCGCATTCCGGTGGAGCGCTAGAGGCCCGTGAGATCCCAGTGCATGTTGATATGTGGGCTTTAACGTCCCAAAGCCACCATATAATTATGAGAAAGTCAGAGAGACACCGTAGTGGAGGACTCCAGAAATTTCGACAACCTGCGGTTCTTTAACGTGCACCCAAATCTACGGGCCTACATCATTTCCGCCTGCATTAGAAATGCAGCCACCGCAGCTGCGATTCGATCCCGCGACCAGCGGTCAAGTGCCAGAGCATGTTAATAAACGCCAGCTGGTCCAAATTTCTGGATCTCGCCTCTATATACGGCGTGCCTCATTATCCTATCGTGCTTATGGTACGCAAAACTCCGTATATTATATAGAAGCTCCATGTTTTTTGTGTGTGTTTAGTTGATAGAATGCGGAAATGATAAAGTTGTTGAGAGATGGTTAATACAGCCTGTATATACGTTTTCTTAATTTTTTGTTACATGCTGAGACGTAAAGTTCTTAACTTCAGCTTGCCGTTGTCGTATTTGTAAAGTTTGGCATGCAGCATGCAGCTGCCTGTCAACGTTCAGTACGCGCGCTATCACTAAAACTAGGCTTCCGATAGGAAGCAACAGCACCATTCAGATGTTCATATAGGTGCAGCACAAGGCCTTACGTGAGAGTGTGTAAATAAAGCGAGTCAGAAAAGACACGTGCAGGTTAACATACGAATGGCAGAATGAAACTTGAAAAGGAAAAAAAAAGAAGAGTGCTAGATTAGACGTAAAAACGCATGTAACACAATATTTTACCGCTTTTCAAATTTGTTAATATGTCAACTTCGGCTTTCGTGCATGTGCGTGCGTATGTGCGTGTTTGTTGTAAATCAGGGGCGCAGCCGGAAATTATTCTCAAAAAAACGGGGGGGGGGGGGGGAGGGTCCAACCATACTTAGTGTACGTTCATGCGGTCGTTTGTATGTGCGCATGTTATACATGTAAGCATAATTGAGAATTTTCGGGGCCAATTGAACCACCCCATTCCGCTCAACACCCCCCCCCCCCCCCGGATACATCACTGTGGGGAGTACAAAAACGGACGCACGCAGCTGAATGGGGCCTCTTTAAAAGAATTTCGTCGCAGTTGTAGACTGGTCTGAATAGGGCGACATACTTATGAACGACCTAAGGTATCACTCGTTAGACAGTTAATAATACATTCAAATAGAGCTAACAGGGTGCACACGAGCAAGTAAAGAAAAAGTCAAGGGAAGAGCGTGCATCAGAATATAGAACTGTGACGTCAACTCGCTTAAGTATTTCTTTCTACAACGCAAGTCGCCGTGAGCTTACAACAGCCGATTTTAAAAAGTGGCAATGTTTTCAGCTGGAGCCCTCGGTGTCCATCGTAGCTATCACGTACAACTAGATACAGGGAAGAAAAAATGGCGTTTGAGCTCCAAACAATGCATTATTACGCGTGACAAGCGAAAATATAGCGCAGAGCCATGCCAGGGCTTGAAGAAGAAGAAGAAGAACGAAACTTTATTTTGAGTGAAGGGGTAGAAAAGGGGTACTTAGGAGTATGTTGGTGAGGGCCCCAAGTACAGGGCACCGCTTGACTTTTCTTCGGCAAACAACCCTGCAAACCATCATGTGTGGCGATAAGTCACTTTTCAAATGCAGTAATGCATAGTAGAAACGTACAAACACACCGGGGGCTAGAAAATGTGACTTTGTACAAAATGTAGAAAGTCACATTTTGTGACAAAATGTATAAAGGTAAACTGGCGCTGTATGCCAAACTTTGCGAATACGACAACGGCAAGCTGAAATTAAGAGCTCTACGTCTCAGCATATGACAAAAAAAAGAAAGAAACAAAAAAAGTGTAGATACAAGCTACATTAACCAGCTCTCAACAACTTTATTATTTCCGCATTCACGAGCAACTCTCAGCTACACGCAAAAGACGGCGCACTTCTACGATAACATACGTAGTTTCGCGTACCACGATAGAATAACAAGGCACGCCGAATATAGAGGCGAGATCCGGAAATTTCAACCATCTGGCGTTTATTACCGTGCTCTGGCACTTAACCGCGGGTCACGGGATTGAATCCCAGTGGCGGCGGCAGCATTTCCGATGCAGGCGGAAATGATGTAGGCTTGTGTGGTCAGATTTGGGTGCACGTTAAAGAACCCCAGGTGGTCAAAATTTCCGGAGCCCTCCACTACGGCGTCTCTCATAATCATATGGTGGTTTTGGGACGTTAAACCCCACAAATCTAATCAATCAATCAACCTCAGGTTGTCGAAATTTGCGGAGTCCTCTACTACGGTGCCTCTCATTAATCATATAGTGGCTTTGTGACGTAAAAAACCCATATATCAACATGCACTGGCATCTCACGGGTCTCTAGCACTCCCCCTGAATGCGACCAGAATGGTATCCGTGCTCTTCAGGTCAGCCGCCCAGCACAGTGACACCACCGCGGCCGGCAAGTGCGTTTCTATTAGCGGCGTATCTTGTGTGCTGCCATGTTGAAAGCGTGACACGGTTAGTTTGACCGGCTCTGCATGCATTCCAGTTCATGACATTGTTGGTACAATAACTGACACATTTGAAACTATAGTGATCACAGATCGGCGTGTTTCATTCTAAAGATTCTGCCTATCTTTCCGTTTTGTTAAGACAAGCATGCTATCACGTTGGAAGATAGACCTCCCCATCGATATTATGAGCGATCCGAAGGCACGTTCTCGCTATCAGTGATGGTCACCATGACAAGTAGAAGAGTGCTAATCAATATGCTTGCCACGGATGACGCGAGTCAGCTGGATGCCGCGCGATCGGCGTTGCCCCCAAAGGCGTGCCCCCCGAAAAAGGTGCGCCCCCATGTCGCTCTTATCGCATATAAAAACGAACCGGACAACCCTGCCGGGTCACTTTCTTCGTAGCCATCGTGTCGAAAGGACGCTTCTGCATCGGCGCCCGATTTTCGTTTCGTCGACCGACTTTGCCATCCTCAAAAGTGTAAGTTCACGATGCTGCAACCACGTGGCTGTTCACGGCAGTGGTTTTGTTTCTTCCGCAGTGTCGACACTGCCGTAAAAATAATGCTTTTAACCTAGGCCGATATATATGTCATAGTATGGTATTTGCGTTTCTGAAATTAGCTTGTAGGCAAATACGAAGTACTGTGCTGTGCCGATGTTCTTATGACTTCCAGTTGTCTGCGGCATTGTCTTTCCTGTCGGCTAGGGATGCGCCCGTGGACTGTTTTCTTTAAATGTAGCCCGTCAATTAGTGTTTGGGTGCAAAAATGTGTATATATTCGTGGTAGATTAGTAAGTTACGTGGCTAGACTCAAGGACGGGAATTCAATTCTACACCACTGGTGACGGCATTTCCCCGGCGGCAAGGCACAAGAACGCCCGTGTATATGCGTTTCAACGTTTGAAGAAGAAAAAAAAAACCTGAGCTAGGTATAGACGGCGCCTCCAAGCTTCCCGCATACACAAGTTGTTATACAGTCCCTCCACTGAAGAGTGGTGCGTCCACGATCTGTCCGCGGGGCGTGTAGAAAGAGGTGGAATTCCATCGTTCCTTTCTTCTACTCAGGCGTGTGTAGTGCACGACCGTGGAACTTTATGTTTCTGGCCGTGGACATCTGCAGCAAAGTTGGTTATACTTCTTCACGTGCGTTTGTCTTTCCTATAGCACATTCATTGTGTGCTATAGCCTCATGCAGATTTCATTTTGCTTATCCTCTCGCAACATAACTTCGCTTTGTTTGATTTTGCAAATACCTTCTCCGAATATGGCGGACATGTTACGTGGCTCCACCCCTTCACTTACGTAGGGTGCGAGCTGATACATACCTTCAATAATTTGGGAAAATTAATTTTGTCAAGCGACTTCGCACATGCGCCTAAACACGTATTTCGCCTCACTTCTCAGCAGTACACGACGGCGTGCGGCCATGACCGATCGATCATTTGAGTCGTTTAACGTCCCAAAACCCGGTTATGATTGAGAGAAGCCGTAGGAAAGGGCTCCCTATATTTCGACCACGTTGGCTTGTTCGACGTGCAGCTACATCTAAGCGCATGGTCCTCACCGCATTTAAAATGCGGTTTCAATTCCGCCGCCTCCCGGTCAGCACGGAGCCCCCATATAAATTACTGGACCACCGTTGCGCGTGGGTGAGTTTCGACGTTCTTACTTCTGTGACTCTAACTATAACGAAGCCCGGGGTGCAATAGGGGCTTGCAGATATTGAACCAAATGACGTTTCTTGAACAGGGAATGTGCTTCAGCAGAGTGACTTGTCGGCCGAGTTGGTTCATTAACGTAGCATTTGGGGCAAAAGCCACGTTAAGGGGGAATGTTACCTGGCATCACCGTTTTTTCAAGCGAACTTCTTCACCATAAAGCAGCCATCTATTTGTCGAAACGTCAGGTTCAGTGACATTACCGTCGCAATCAATTTCCCTTCATTACATACTATGCCGTTGCTGTTTCCACAGTACCACTGCTATCTGCACGTCTTCAGCCAAAACGTCACGGCATGGACGTTCTTTGCAAAAATGTGTGCTTGGACCACCGTAAAAACCTTCCTTTTGTTGCACTTTTTTCAGAGCCATGAAGTCTATAGTTGGCGCCACCCGTCTGCTCATCCTCGCAGTCGCCGTCACAACCATGCTGCTACTGGCGGCTCCACTTGTAGCTGAAGGCGCGGCCAGGCAGTTCTGCTCGCCCAATGGGGATGTGGTATGTTGTACTAGTCTCTACTCTTCTCAGTAGACTAACCGTGCCATCGAATACATCGTATTCTTATTTACCTGTCTGTGTGCGCAAGGCTTTGCGCTTCCCACAGCTTACTATACTTTGCAATCGCTACTTTCTTTCGTTTTTAACAAGTACAGTTCGCCAATTCAACAGCCCTATCTGTACTGTCGACTAAGAGGCTGCACCTGTACACCAGACGTTTACCCTATACTCTGATTGCCACTTCGTCTGCTCGGTCCTTTCCGCAACCACAGCATAGCATTCTGCACAGCAAGATTTCTGGTTTCATTTTCAGAGCTTTGTGGAATATAGGCAACGCTGCAAAAGTTGCGAAAAAGGCATTCCACCTGATATGTTCTGCAAAGCCCAAAGACACCCCACCTGAATGTTAAGATATAGCCAAATATCCGGCAAGTGCGCTGATGAACGCTTTGTATCTGGAGAGGACCCTTTCGTTCATAACATATGCAAACTTCAAGTTCCTGTTACCAACTTCTGTGCAACAATTCCTTTTGTAGTTTCCTCCACGTACATTGCGAAAGATTCACTGCAGCACGCACCCTTGTTATGTCGGATACGCCGGGAAGCTTCTCACGGGGTTAATTTTGACCAGGGCTGGGCGGATGGTTGAGGAGACGCGCCGACGAAACTAGCAATTGTAAGACGTTCGGCTTATGCATTTACCACTGCTCATTTCATTTGGTTATTTTGTTTAACTTTGCAGGTTGGCTTATATAGAGACACTTTATAATGGCAGAGTTCACATTCCCTACGCCGCACACTCGCCCAATTAATGACGGCACCTGCAGGGCAGCCCGTGGAGAGGATGTCCTTGCTGCTGGGGCTTGCGCAATATGCTTCTGCATATCAAGAGATCTGTGGCTACACGTTCCCCACCACGGCGCGATCAAATCGCGCTTCAACTCTACGCTTTTAAACGTAACTAACCGCCATTAGTTGGATCTAACAGAATTAATGTATGCTTTTGCAACTTCCGCTACGCGTGCACGTGACATGAACTCGTTGTAGTCGAGCCAGCATTCTGCTTGTTTTCACGCCTCCATCACTTCAACCATGTCAATTTAACCGCAATATGAAATTAGCAGTGACGCTGCAGGCTACGGAAGCGATGTGCATGCTGGAGAAGCGATTACTTCAGCTACGATTTTTCGCAAACCCACCTTTAGCGGCTGGCGTTGCCCTCTGTCGAATATCGTGGGTCGCAAAGCGCCGTGTTGGCTTTCCGTTGCGATGTTAACTCAAAATGAGCGCCATTTCATATTTCGTGGCGTAAATCTATATAAATAGCTCCGCCGCGGTTGTATAGTGGCTAAGGTACTCGGCTGCTGACCCGCAGATCACGGGGTCGAATCCCAGTTGCGGCGGCTGCGTTTCCGATGGAAGCGGAAGTGCTATAGGCCCGTGTGCTCAGATTTGGATGCACGTTAAAGAACCTCAGGTGGCGCAAATTTCCAGAGCCCTCCACTACGCTGTCTCTCATAATTATATTGTGGTTTCGGGACGTTAAATCCTACTTATAAATCCAATATAAAGCAATCTGTTGATACTAGTTCATCGGTCACCCTCAGTTCGCTTCGTTCATATTAACATACTTATGAAACCACCGCTCACCGTCGTATGATATACTTTCTCTCTCTGGCTGCCTAGTTCCGCGTCAATGAAGTCAACTGTGCATGATCAATGCTAATAGTTACTCAGTGCCGATAGTTACTGAAGACGCAGTTAGGTCCTACACGGAAGGTATATATACGTTTTTTTGAGTGGGGAGCCTTCTATTCCTACGTTAGCCCATGACTGACGGCTGATGTACTTTTTCTTTGCGCAGTGTTTTGGACCCCTGGATTGCTGCTCCGGCCAGTGCGTCAACGCGGTGTGCTGTGACGAGTACCTGGGCACTTGCCCCTTTGATTACCTGTAATGCTTCTCTTCCTTCCTGCACTGCTTGGCGCACTCGTTTTAATTTTAGCACCCTGCATCGCTTGCTTGAGTGTCGGGAACATGTAATTTGGTGCGGGTTTTCTCGCGCTTATGGCACAAAATTACCTTAGAGATGCACCTGTACTGCTAATACCTTTTAAAGAATGCTCTGTGCTACATACCTGCAAGTATTCTCATTTAACGCTGCATGCCTACAGGTGCTCTGCCTATATCTCGTTTAGCACGTGCTTCGATTAGCATCACGCGTCATTTCTGGCATGTCATTGGTTGTCACTGAACAGTTTAGGCATATGTTGGTACCGTCGGGAGAACTGGCGCTAAAGCGGATTTGCTTGCACATAATTCTGACGCATGCCCTTATCCTCTTACTGTGAAGTAACAGCCGCCGTCCCCATGGCGCAACGTTTTTTTTTATGCATGCTGGCTCCGTCTTCCTTCCTTCGGTTGGTGGTGGGTGTACAGAGGTGGTCCCTTCTGGAAGCAAAATTCGAATGCCATCACCACCATGGTGACCACGCCCGAGCCGGAAGGATCTTCAACAACCCCTACCACCGAGAGCGTCACTCAGGAGGAGGAGGAGCCCGAAGAGTCCTCGACGGAGGAGTCTCGGTAGACAGTCACTCTGGTGCCGACAACGCATATGCTGCGCTGAAGATCCATTGCATGTACATAACTGCAATTTACAAACAAGGCTGTTTATGCCACTGATGACTTGTTTCGTTTTTAAACACATTTGGTATCTCTAAGTCTCATCGTGACTCCACTCGATGCGTTTCTGGTTAACACGCATGGACCAACTCGCTTGTGGGTTGACCAGTCGTGCTCACAACAGCATACGCAGTAGGCATACTTTACTGAGGGGGTACGTGTGTCACCTGACCGAACATCTCGAAAAGCATTAACCTCAAAGGTTAATGCTTTTCGAAGCTGGACCAGCTGATACACATCTACAGCACCAAGCAGCGCAGACAACAAAACTGACGCACAGGTAGGCGTAACGAGAGAAAGCGCCTGTTTGTCAATCTCTTTTCACGCTGCTTGCTACGATGGGTGCAGTAATCAACCAGTGACAATTTATTGCGTGTAGGGACACCCTTGGCTGGATGTGACCCCCGCTGTCGCATTTATTCACCGTGTATGTACGTGTATTCATATATATGAAAACGCAAGAAAAAAAATAATCTAGAGAGACACCGGCATGCGGAATCCAACGTTGGACCTATCAATTGCAAGTGCAAGGCGTCACCCACTGAGCCACAAGAAAGCACCTAGAGCTACGTGTTCGGTGTGATACATTCGACACATACCATCCTGAGTGACGATACCCTAGTAACGATGACTTCGACGATCTCTGAGTGTGTTGGAGGCGATCCGTCCATGCTCTCACTAGTGGCTCTCCCTGCTGTGTTGAAGCGTGCGTGCGATGCATCGTGTCGCATCGACTGATTTGCGTGCCACAATGTCGGGGAACCGCTGCGTAGTGAGAAGCCTTCATATCGAGGCGCGGAAAAAGCGTAAAGTGCGTGGCGTTTCATGCTTTTTCAAGCCACGAACCTCAGCGCAGCCAGTGGGTTGACTTTGTACTTGTCGTTGGACAGAGGAACTGGACGCCTGTGAAGAACAGCCGCATTTGCTCCCTTCTCTTTGCTGGCGAGCTGCTACAGGGTAAATCCTGTGTTGAAGAACCAGTTCGGTTTCACTGCCAGTACTGAGGCCTCTTCTCGAGGCCAGGGCTATTCCTATTGTGTGCCCTGCTGCAGCTGAAAGCAGCGATTCACTCGCCAAATGTCCGCGCGATGAGGTGCGTAGTTGGTGTTCCCGAGTTGCGACAGTACAGGCCAGGACTGATAAGTGAATTGCATTTAACGTGGAAGCTTGTCAAGCAACAATCGTCGTGAATGGCGGTGATACCGAATTCCAGGTCGCTGTCATCATAACTTGCCGATGTTGGTGATGGCGAGGACGACGATGTTGGTGATAGAGGCAGGTCTATGCCTTCAGAAACACAGCTGGACTGACCCTACATGCACTCCTAGCAGACGAAACGCCAGTGTGACGTCACCATTTTTTTGAAAGTGGCGTCAGCTGCGCAGCGGCCTCGACGTGGCCGCGAGGTAGCGCTACAATTTCGTGGGCTTTCCACCAATTTTGAACCGCATTTGATAGCGAATATATTATTCAATATTACAGATACCCATTCGTCACTCATGTGCGTTTTAGGTCGCGAGTCGCTACTAGGGGGTCGATAGCTACTTGTTGACGCAAAAAATCTTGACATGAGTAACTTTGATGCCAGTGCTGCTTTAAGCTCCTGAATGGTGAACGGGAGGTCCATACAGGAATCGCGAGGTGGCGGACAACTTCTCGAAAGTTGTGAGCTGTTAAGTGCTGTAGTTTGCCCTGATAATCCGGCGCAGAACTCTTCAGCAACGTCTACATCTGGTCGATTTTGGTAAAGGGCTAAGGCCTTGAATGGTGACCTCTGAAGGGGAGATGACCGTAAACCTTGTGCCGTCCTCTATAACTGCGGTAAAGGCTTGCAAGGGTCGAGTGACCCGCAGAAAGTAATCCAGCGTTGGAATTTTAGCTTCTCCAACCAACGTTGCATCTTCTGCATACGTCTAGCAGTCCGTAAATCTTCTTTGTCTTTCGTGCTCCGGTACCTTCTTTCAGCTCGTCGTCGTAAGGCTCGAAGCCGCCCCATCTATATAGATATGTCAATGTCCATGAATTTTACAGAGCATGGGATCGTACACACAGTCCCTTGTGCAGTGCTCTTGATGGCCTTTTGTAAATCGGATATGTGTTCTTGGCATTGGTCTTCCATACGAGACTGAAATGTTTTCCAGTCCACTCTTCTAACCGTGTCGCGAACTTTAGGAGATGACAAACCACTGATATTGACGTATGTTGTAATGTGATCACTCCCATGCGTTTCTATATCCATAAACCATTCAGTATGCTTCACTAGGCTTCGCGAAACAAAAGCTAAGTCGAGACAGCTTCAGTATGTGGAGCCACGTAAGAATGTAGGACTGCCATCGTTCAGTAACCAAAGTTCATTGTTGGAGGGAAAATACACCAAGTTTCTGCCCTTAATGTTGGTCGTCTGACTTCCCCATAATGTATGATGAGTGTTAAAATCCCCGATGATAACACATGGGTCGGGCGTTGACGCTATGATGTCTCGTAGTCTTTTTTGATCGAACCTGCTTGATGGTGATAGGTATGCGCTAACCACCGTGACGTTTCTAGCTGTCCAACCAACGTTGCATCTTCTGCATACGTCTAGCAGTCCGTAAATCTTCTATGTCTTTCGTGCTGCGGTACCTTCTTTCAGCTCGTCGTCGTAAGGCTTGAAGCCGCTCCAGCTATATAGATATATCAATGTCCATGAATTTTACAGAGCATGGGATCGTCCACACAGTCCCTTGTGCAATGCTCTTGATGGCCTCTTGTAAATCGGCTCCTCTTTTTCACTCTTAAGCATACGTATTGATTTTCACCATGAGGTGATACAGGTTGAAGGATACGACTGAGGTCTTGGCGAATGAATGCCAGAACCTTGCGGCTTTCAGTGACAATAGATGACATAAAAGGGTCGTATCCACAGACTCTTATTGCAATCTGTAAGTTCTGCTCACAGAGGACGATTACGGGAAACATATTGACGTACACAAATCGACAAAAATCAGCAATACGCGATCTTAGTCCCCAGGAATTCCACTGCAGCATTGCTGCTTTACGAACCTCGTCCCTGAAAGACAGTGGTGGGGTAGCCATGGCCTACTGTAGAGCTGCTAGCACTGGACTCAGCGCATCCAGTACTTGAAGGGCACTTTTGGCTGACGGTGTATTTATGTTGCTTAATAACACGCGGATGGGATGGTGTCCACTAATGATCACAGCATCACCATCACGCGATGATCTGGCTTTCCAGCCGTCGCAGCTTCTTGTTCTTGAGGCGGCTTCTGTTGAGGCTCAACAGATCGTGTAGTCTGAAAGGGTGGCCATTTCTTTGATGAGAAAAGTCTCCCACTTTCTTCTCTTTCGGCGCAAATTATTGCCGTGCTAGGAGCCGCGCCTCTCGATTTCACTTTAGTTTCTGACTTTCTCGTTAGATTTGGCACTGTCCTTCGTGAGGACCTTCGACGTTGACGGCGCTTTCGCCTTAGGTTTTGCGCAACTTCTCTGTGAGCCGAGTTGTCTCGCACCATTTGTTTTCGAATAAAAATCTCCTTCTTAGTCAGAGGACAGTCCTTGGAGGAAGCACTGTGAGCACCGTGGCAGTAGGGGCATTCCAACGTAGTTGCACTTCAGTTGTCTTTTGAGTGGTGTTCAGCGCCTCGGGGGCACACTGCGGAATTTCTGCAAACGCCCTTCACGTGGCCAATCTTCTGGAACATAAAACAATGCATAGGCTTAGGAATAAATGGGTGAACCTGTTGACGAAAATGGCCAACCTTCACGTAAGAGGGAAGACAGTCACCCTTGAATGTTATTTGCACACAACGAGAGTTGCCTAGGTGGCCCGCGTGCACAATGACGTTATTTTCACTCACTGGTTTTATCAGTACAGGAAACATTTCATTGGTGATTCCAGTGTCTATATCATAAATAGCTAATATTACGGTATCACCATTCGCTGGTATGATGGATCGGACTTTGATGTTTCGCAGCTCCGACACATGCTTCACAGTCTTCGCCCGCGCCTGCTGTGATGGACCGCTACTCCGACCTGTGCACGGAGGGCGTAGGACTCATGAAAGGCCCACCGGTGCGCCTTCACATCAAGCCTGGAGTGACGCCAAAGTTCTTCAAGGCAAGAAAGGTACCCTACGCTCTGTTGGATAAAGTTTCAGAGGCATTAGATCGACTCGTGGCAGCTGGCGTTATATCACCAGTGACGCACTCGGAATGGGCTACGCCCATTGTTCCAGTCTTAAAGAAAGACGGCACAGTTCGCATTTGCGGTGACTTCAAGGTTACTTTGAACTTAGTATGCGAGCTGGAACAATACCCGCGGCCTCTTATCGAGGATATTTTTGCGCAATTAGGTGGGGGGGGGGGAGCGGTTCAACATTTTGGATTTGCGCGACGCCTACAACCACATCCCGCTAGACGAAGAGTCTCGCAAATTGGCCGTGATAAACACCCACAAGGGCCTCTTTTGCTTCAACCGCCTCCCGTTTGGGATTGCTTCGGCACCGGCGATATTTCAAAGGCGGATTGAATCAATCCTACAGGGCTTGCCTGGGGTGCAAGCGTACCTAGATGACGTGTTGATAGCGGAAGAGGGTGACAGCCAGAACCGCAATCTGATGGCTGTGCTCGAGCGCTTCCGTGAACATGGCATTAAGATTCGTGCTGATATATGCCGCGTTAGCGAGCCCTCTGTTACATATCTAGGTCACCGTATTGACGCGAACGGACTGCATCCCATGGAAAAGAACGTGGATGCTATCAGGCTAGCCCCCTCTCCACAGAACGTCTGCGAGCTACGCTCATTTCTGGGCATGGTAACCTTTTATAACAAGTTTATGCCCGACTTGTCTATCATTCTAGCACCGTTGTACAAACTGCTGCAAAAGGGCGCTAAGTGGACGTGGAGCACCAAAGAAAAGAAAGCCTTTGTCCAGGTGAAAAATGCGTTGTGCGCGGCACCCATACTCACTCATTTTGACCCGAACCGTGAGCTCTTCTTGGAGTGTGATGCGTCTCCACACGGAGTTGGTGCTGCACTT